AAATCTTTGCGCTGTGACGGTTTGCACAGATTTTGCGATGATGAGTAAAAACGTTCCCAAACTCATTTACAAGGTCTAATATAGCCTGAGAAAACAGCCGACATTTGGCGACGCTCAACCACTGGTTTTCCCGCCTAATGACGTCTGAGAAACGAGCGCAGAAATTTCACACTGATGACTCGTCACTACCCAGATCTGGCAAATCATGCCAGCGGTACTTTTTTCGGGAAATACATGAAAATTGTTATGTCCACAAATCTGGAATATATAGAAAGAGAAAGACAGAGAAAACGAGAAAGTAGGCGACAGGGTAGTAAAGCTCAACGAGAAAAATAGCGACAGAACGCTAGAGCGAGAGATAAAAAACAAGGGAGACGAATTTCGTTGGAAGAACAACATGAAAATTTTATACTGGCGGTGAGAATTTGTACAAATGCTAGGTGAAAATGAGCGGCAGTGAAAAATGAAAAAAGCGAAGAGAAACACAAGCAACAAAATTCACTGTGAGCACAACGACATTTTCTCCACAAAACATAAAACTGGGAAGTTTCACTTGGCGGTTTCACGTGGAAGAAATGTACAAAAAAGGGTGCTGAGTTGAGCACTGAGTTGAGCACGTGCAGAGTTGTTTTTTTTTTGTTGTTGTTGTTGTTGTTTTTTGCTAATTAGACCAAGAGCTATGGCTCTTGATTAGACATATTGATTTTTTTTGCCATTCTCGTTGCCGTCGCCGTTTAGCATAGAATTAAACGATTTTACTTTATAAGAATCACGTAGCCGTGATAGGCTCCTGATTAACGAGAGCTTTGCTTTCAGCCTTGGCTAAATCTACACAGTAACGAGTGAGATCGTTGTATAGTGCAATGCCTTTCAGTGTTTTTCTGTTCATTCATCTCGTAGACTGCTTGCAGTCCGCCTTTTCTCTTAAAACCCGTCTAGTTCTGGCTAGGGCGATTTTTAAACCACGAAAAACGAGAAAAATAAGAGACTGCTCACAGTCTATTCATCTCGTCGTCCAATCCCCTACAACTGAGTAGCCACTAAGTAGGGCCTAACACAGTGGTGAATTGAAATCTTCAATTGAATGGGGGTCCGGCTAGTCTAGAGTGAGACCCTTACATAAAAGGGGCGCTTGACCTCGAACATATATTATTTTTGCGGCCCTGCGGGCTAATTCCTCAGGCCCCTCCCGTAGACCCACAGTAACTTGCGAGGAAGCTCTCCATTTGAGAGAGAGCGGCAAAGCCGCGAGGGGCTCTTTAAAAATGTATTTACATTCGGCGGAGCTAAACGTAGTGGCAGTGACAGAGAATGTAAATACTTTCCTATTGGTATGAACGCACGTGAGCCGCTATGTCGTTAATTGACTCTATTGTTATTAGGTATGTAAGGTTTTGACAGTTGTAATGTATTCATCTCAGCTCTCGAACTATCAACTTTTATTTTTATATCTTACTTTATTCATCTATCGATTGATTTTTTACCTTTAACCCCCAGCGGTTGTGCGACCGCATCGGTTAGGGAATACGTTCCCAATTTTTTCCCATTGGGTTTTTTGGGTTTTCGTATATTCAGGCGGCGCACGTGATTAGTTTAGCCTGAGTGACTTTATTTAGGAATACTTGTATACCATTCTTTAGTTATGATGTTGAACTGTGTATGTTATTTGGACGGCATTAAACACTCAGGCTCCATAGGTCGAGCTGCACACCCATTCCCGTCTCTTAGTCGTGAATATAAATATGAACAGTTCTTTTCCCCCTCCGTCGCTATCGCGTCTCCTCTCGCGTGCCACTCGCGCGTGTGAGTAACTTTTCACGGTATAAAGCAATAGACCTTTTTGGCTTGTATGTTTTGTTTTCCCAATTCAGACCACGTGATGCTGTCCAGGGAATTTGCCTTTTGTCTTTTCTTTTATTTTGCATACATTTGCACGGGGATGCACGTGAATAAGACGACGTAGGAAAGAAACAGTTCTCTGTTCTCTGAGGTACCATCACGTGCTCTGTGATGGGAAAAACAAAACATACAAGCTAAAACAAGGTTTATTGAAGAGCTTGCTAGATCCACCAGTGCCTCAGAGAAACCGTTGACCTGCCTACAGAAGAACCTTGCAAAGCAAATTTGCCATGCAGTTAGAGGGCAAGAAGGGATCATGATTTCTAGATATGTGGTATTCAACCTCGTCCCCAGGGCGCTTTTCCCTAGCTTTCCCGCCCCACCTCCAAAGCCAGGGAAAAGCGCCATGGAGACGAGGTTGATGTGGTATTGGCATCCGGTACGCCTAGCTGTTTTTCCGGTTAAGAGATGGTTTATTATAAAACGTATTTACTGCTAAGGACACGGATATTAAATTTACGTACTCGTCTATCTACAGGCCTCAATTTGATTATAAACGTCCCTTTTTACACTGAGTTCAGTTGACTGTTAGACGGTCAAGTGGTCATGTGCGTAAATCTTGTTAGCGATCTTACTAGGGACGATTCTCATCCTCGGCGCAATTGTATGTTGCAACGTTGTTTCGAAATGTGACAACATTATGCCAACCTTCGTTTAACGTTCATGATCAGTTCACAAATTCTTGGCTTATTCATGGATTTAAACGCCAGATGTTATGTCTAACGTTGGGCTTATAACTTGAGTACTGAGATTTATTCTAAAAATGACAGTGACGAAATTTTTTTAAATCTGATGTTTAGTAGTCACAGCAAGTGAAAAATGTGGTGAATGTAAGGAAAACTTTTTGACGCGAAAACTGGCAAGCCGTCTTTTTATTTTCCAGGGTCCGCCCAGCAGTTTTTCCAGTAAGTGGCCGCGGGAATCAAGTGGCAGAGGAGGGGTGGGGTGGTGGTCCTAGGGCATATCTCCGCTCGTTCAAATGGATCCATTGTAAGCTCTTACAAGAAAGGTACGATTAACATATTTGGTCTAGCAAATCAATCCCCTATCCATCAGTTTCATCGATTCAAGTGCCTTTCTTTGTAGTAACTGGATTGCAGGCGGAAGTCTAGAATAAGCTAGGATGCGCCTTGCTAAACCTTATCTTCCGTTCAGTATAACTACCTCATAATGAAAAACCTTTTTATTCAAAAACCCTGCGAGAATAATGGCTGCATGATTCAGCTAACTTGATCATTATGTACGTCCACATCATGAACCAAAATGAACTAACAAAGAGAGAACACCTCCTTTTTTGCGGCTCGTACTTTTCGCAGTTTAACTCAATAAGTATAATAATTGTAATGTTTTCAAAGGTCGATAACTTCCATCAGTCTTGAGATCATAACAGACCAGTTCATGATATATTACGCGAGGTCGAATAGACCATTTTGGATATATTAAAATTCATACTTGGCTCCGTGGCTTGGGGGAATAACACAAAAGAAGTGTATTACTCATTATTAAGCCTCAAGGTGATTCCTTTTGTTTTAATCCCCCAAGCCTCGCAGCCAAGTATGAATTTCAATATATCAGAATTGGTCTATTGCTACCTCAAACGCTGACCGTTGAACAGAGGCCAAGGGCGTAACCAGGCTTTTTTCCGTTTAAGCCCAGTAGGTTAATAATAATAATAATAACAATAATTATAATAATGATGATGATGATAACGATAATTCTATATTTTGTTTGACACTTTTACATGGCACAAATTTAACTAACGACACAGCACGCGCACTATAATAAATAACAATTGAAAAAAAATGTTAGGTGCACCGATGAAAGGTTCCTATAGAGTATCATCTGAAGAATTATGGAGATCAAGGAAGATGTTATCCGCCGAGGCCGTGGAAATCAGAAACGGAGAAATATTTTGAAAGAATAATAATAATGTTTATTTTCATGCAAATAAAACCATGCTCCTGATAAAACTCATTTTCACAAGAAAGGTTTTGTACTTAGACTAGTTTTAAAAGTGAGAAGTTTCTGAACTTGAAAATGACCTATTGAAATCATGATTTTAATAAATTTAAGTTGACTTAACACACAAGTTGCTCACGTCTAGTCAATAGGGAACGAAAAGGTCACTTTAACATTGAAGTCACGCTGCTTCAAAGTTATCGCACTTAATCCATCTTGTTCTATTCGTCAAATGTTGGCAATTTGTTATGAAGTGGAATTAAGACTGTATTGAAGTTCAGGAAAAGAAGACGAAAGTCGCTGTCTTGTGTTCACGTACTCCACAATTTTAAACGTGAATTTAGGGGCATTTTCACGCCGTATTCGTGCAGTGAGTGACGGCAGAGAAATGTACAAAAAAGCTTGATACACGTGCTGAGTTGTTGTTTTGCCTATTCAACCTGTTTTTTGCCGTTTTCGTTGATGTTGCCGTGGTCGTTACCGAAGCTGCCTACTGTCGACCTCTTTGCGTGCCCTTTTGATCGTGCACCTTTTTTTTTTTTAATCCCACTATCTCTCTCTAGCAGCTCTTACAAGTTGAGGATAGGCGCTGAAAACTCATGTTCGATTGAAACGCCAGCAAAAACCGCCAATATCACGAAATCTCTGATTGCCTTGTCTGTCAAATTTTGATCTTTAATAAAATAATTACATGTACCATGGAGCAAGGGAGGTGTGGGGGGATTCTTTTATGCTGGTACTTTGGTAGACTGCGGACACAGACGTTTTTCCGGTCGTCGCTTCTCTCCAGTTGGTGGTGTTTTTTAACTTCCCTCGGCCCTCCCTAACCCTAAAACAAAGCTAACCCTAACCGTAACCTTAAACTCAACACAAAAAATACAAAAATTACATTGATTGAGCGTAGTATGTATGTTTAATCTAGGTGAAATACTGATAACACATTTAACCTAGGTTCACACTGGCTTAACCTGATCCCAGATTTTACCATTTTCAAAAAAACATGTACGACAGGAGCCCATAACCATTATGGGCTCCGGTGTACGATCATTGCCATTACCAAGAGCCATTACGTAATACTGCGTACAGAAACTTAGGTCAGCGGCTACAACCTGGCGGACACTTTGATAATCATACATGACGTATCTATCGCTAAAGACGTAAACTGAAGAATGCACCGTGAATAATCAGAAGTTTTCCTTGCTTCATTCAGTGTTATTTCGGCGGCCTAGCTTTAAATCAGTGTGAGGTGCTAATCATGAGCGAGAAGAAACTAGGATACATCCCTAACTATGCTCGTTTCGTTATGGGAGGATCGGCAGGGTAAGTGTTTCATCTTCGTACATCTTATACCTACAAGTCTTTCTTGGAGGTCTGAATGACCTTTGCTCGTCTGCCATTGTTGCATGCGTGTTCTATTTTATTTTATTATATTCTACGGGTGATGATTATACTTCAAGAATACCACATTTAAGTCGATGTCGTTCACGTAATGCTCGCAGGTACTCTGAAGTCCAGCGACGCCACATTGTGTCTTTGGTTTTCAACGGGAATTTGGCTCTCTTTCTCAGGTCTCTTTCGTTCACGTGATAGGGCGCGAGTTCTGGTAGTATGTTGGAATTGGTGAAGAGGAATGAGTTTTGCATGAGTGTAGGAAGCTGAACATCCTCTTCCAAATAGCTCAGGAGTCGGTTGTTTAGGGTCACTTCAATGTCAAGAAGAACTTCGGTTAGTTCTTCCCAGGTGAGTAAACCTTGTCCTACAGTTTTGTAAAACGCGGCTTTCATCAGGCCAATAAGACGTTCAAATTGTCCGCCCCACCATGGGGCGCGGCTTAGGTTGAACTGCCAGATTATGGACTGTTGGCTGAGGAAATCATTGAAAATCTCGTCCTTGTGCACCTTTTCTAACTACTTGGCTGCTGCTACAAACCTTCCCATTGTCGGAGTACACCTTTGACGGTCGTCCTTGTCTTGCAATGAGTCACTTCAGGCTCTGGATGTACTCCTTTGTCTCCAGGCTTGATGACAGCTCTAAAAATACTCCACGGATCAGGCTGCAGCTGTAGAGTACTACATATAGGCTTTTTGCCTCTATTTGGTTTCTGCAAATACTTCACTGGCCCAGCAAAGTCCACTTTAATACATTAAATGGCGTGTTGCCTTCTGTCCTCTCTCTCAGTAAAGGTCTTGGCGGCGGACTTTGGGCTGGAATGGCTCTGAATCATTTACATCCCCAACAGCTCTTATTAATGCTTTTCACTAACTTTCGGAGGCGAGGCACCCAGAACCTTTCCCGCACTTTAGCCATGGTAAGTCCGGCTCCTCTGTGTAAGGTGACAACATGAGCACGTTGGACTGCTTTAACAGTGTAGAGTGCAGAGTCCGGAAGGTACACAGGGTAGTCACCTTGAATACAACCGCCACACTCTAGCACTCCTTCAACATTAGGCTTTAGGTTTAGTTGCTCCTTATCATCTGAAAACTTGGCATCATTTGTCCTTTGGCGTTGTGACCTCTTGATCCAAAATAGCTCTTGGGCAGAGATGTCTTGAGTACATAAAGGGCCTACGGTCTTCTTGGAAGGGTGAATCGCAAGTCAAAGTCGTGATTGACTTCGACAGTGCCCGCAAAAAGCTCTCGTTGAACCTTCCTCTCTGCTTGACTCTCTTGAGTGGTGTGTGTGACAATGTCTGTTGGCCAGTTCTTCGGATCAGCTAACCATGCAGGTCCCCTCCACCATAGCTCTGCTTTGGTCACACTTCCTCCACGGCTTCTGAGGTCAGCAGGGTTTTCAGATGTAGGTACATAGCGCCACATGAGATTGGTATGGCCCTGTATTTTTTGGACACAGTTTGCTGTCAGCTGACGGTATTCTCCATTATCGCTAAGCCAATGAAGGGCCACTGTACTAACCAACCAACACTGGATGTTGGTTGCTAGAGGGAAACTTTGTAACGTGTTACACGCGTTCACAGCTAAGTTAGCGGCCATGTGACCAGACACCAGCTCCAGACGAGGGATTGTGAGTTCTTGTTTGGCGAGGCGTGACTTAGCAGTTACTAAGCCCTGCGTTACTCCAGAATCTTGCGTGACGACAGCAGAAACAGCAGGGCTAACTCCATAACCACTGGCGTCACTGAAGGCATGCAGCTGTACTTCTTAGATCAGCTCTCGAAAGGTTGCTAAACTTAGCTGCATGCACAGAAAGGTAAGTAATTATTTCTCCCATGCTATCCACTGTCTGGTGATAACTTCCGGTAGTGGCGTGTCCCATGTAATCTTCTGGTTGCAAGTTTCTCTGTAGATTCGTTTCCCATCTAGCATCATGGGAGATACGAGTCCTAGTGGATCGTATACTTTAGCCAGGTTAGGTAGAATTCCTTGTTTGGTCAACTTGGCTGGAAAATTTGAAAAGTTTACTCCTAAGGTGTCTTCACTTTTGTCCCAGGGAACTCCGAGGAGCTTGCCTTTAATTTGCAGGTGTGAATGTGCTGCCAAGTTGCTGTTTGGCAAAGGTAGGCTGGTAGTTCTCACAGTTAGTTTCAAGTTCTGGTTCATTGGCGTGTCATTTGTTCAACTCGAACTTAGCATCAACAAAAATCTCTGTGGCTTTGCATTTCAACTGCTTTGCTGCTGGTATCGTAGGCGCACCAGTAATAAGGTCATTGACGTAAAGACTCTTTAACGCCTCGCTAACGCTCTCTGGAAGTCGAGATTTCCAGGTCTCTAAATGCTGCTGGATTACACCACCCAACAGGAAAGGTGAAGGGGCTAAACCAAACAGCACCCTGGTAAAACGTAGTGTCTCTACTTTCTTGTAATGCTTGTCGACAATCCAGTGGAACCGTAACGCATCTCTTTCGGTCTCACGGATTCGCACCTGGAGGAAAGCCTTGCGTAAGTCACCATCCACTACTACGGCATGAAAACGATTTCGGATAAGTACATTCCACAGCTGATTCTGTAGTGGAGGTCCGGCATGTAAACACTCGTTAAGGGAAGGGGCGTTGCTGTGTGCACGGGCGGAGGCATCATGCACTATTGGAAGTTAGGTCGTTTCAGCTTCTTCTCTCACGAGTGTGCGTTGTGGCAGGTAGAACCTCCTTTCCACTTTTTCAGGCGCTTTCGTGACGGCTTCATGTTCTAGCTGCTCACTGATGACAGCAACATACTCTGATAGCATGTCTGTTTGGTGCAACTTGCATACTAGCGTATTTAGGCGGTGAATACTTCCTTCGTAGTTGTTAGGGAGAGGCAGATGATTTCCTTTCCAGGGTAATGCGGTTTCGTACCATCCTTCGGGAGAACGCGATAACTGTTCCTTAAAGGGGCTGTGTCATGGCAGTCCAGTTCATTTTATTTAATTTTGCCAATTTCTCGCCCTCAATCACTATGGAACTTAAAGTAAGCAAAGAAATTACATGTAAATGACAAAATCAGAGACCTGAGACAAACAATATGTCTCCTGAGCATTATTCTTGAAGTTGCAAGCAGCAGGGGTCAACTTTGAAAAACTCTTAGACTGAACAGTTTTCAAAAAATCCTAATTTCAATCCCTTTCAATCTTCTTCAGTTTTGCCCATCTGTGACATCTGTTGTTTCTGTTATGCTATTTTAACCTTCCTTTAAAGTTTTGATAGACCAAGGACGTCTAGCACGCATAAGCGCTCGTAATCTGCAGTTGAGTTGACGGCAAGGTACACTGATGAAAGATCTGTCTCAGCTCCAGGTGACATCAGCACCCAACCAAATCTCATGAATTTGGCTACAGGATCTCTGCGGCGGCCAACACGCAATCGTTCCCGGCTGCAAATTTTGGCGAAATTATTGGCTCCCAAAATAAGGTGGACTGGTAGCTGAGACTTTCTGTCATCGTCATCCATGTGTACTTGTCTCAGGTGTGAGTGTTCGGCAAGAACTTTCTCGTAGCAGGGATTTTCCAATAGAAGCAATTCTCGCTTATCGATTTTGGTTACGCTAACATCGAGTTGAAAGTTATCTGTCACGGCATGCATTGTCACATTAAATTCTTACAGTGTTTTGGTGGTTACACCCATAAGCATTGCGATTTGACGTAAACTAGCTGCATTTGGCCGAGCTTTAACCAATTTCACAAAGGTTGAGGAGCAATAGGAGTGACTTGCACCACTGTCCAGAAGTGCTCGAAATTTGTATTCCTCAACCCTCACTACAACAACTGGATGAATGACAGCCGATTCTCCAACGTGGTTTGTGGTCATGCCTGGTTGCATGCCGGCAGTAACATTTGCAGTTTTTCACAGATTGATGTGTGATGTTTTCCTTTGCAAGTGTGACGAGATGTTTGGCTCTTGCATAGTGCTGCTCTGTGTGGGCCCGTACATTATTGAAGCATAGACGTTTAGAAGCGAGGTTTGATTTTCGTTGACTCACGTCAGTAACCTTGGTGCAATTTACGGCTCTGTGTTCCGTGCTTGTACAATATACACACCCGCGTGGCGTATGCATTCTTTCCTCTCGGTTGAAAAATGCCTTCTGTTTACAACCACCTTGTAAAGGGTTATTAATCGTCCATTTCTCTAACGTTTCCAGAAACTCCTTGAAGGTCCAATTCTCGCCAGTTCCCGTCGATTAAGACGAGCTCACTTTTTATCACCTCAAGCTTGTTGAGGGTGAATCTTGCGGCCGCGTCAAGCTCATTTAGTTTCTTGAGTGTTAGTAATGACTCCACATTAAACAGCAGCTTCTCGTAAAAATCGTGTATCTTTGCCACATCTCATTCTTGAATTGTCGGCAGCTCGAGAATGTTCCTCACATACGCTCCTACAACTTCGCTAGTTTGGCCATATCTTTTCTCGAGTAGAGCTTTGGCTTTGAGGTAACCCTCTTCGGTGAAAGGTGATCCATCGATAAGTTTTCATACTTTCACATCGACCAATTCTTTTAGGTAAGAACATTTTGTGGTGGCTGGTTCACTGGTACCGTCAATTTGGGAAGAAAATTGACCCAAAAATCTGAACTTGGAAATGACCAACTTAGGCATTTTTGCAATCCTCACGGCTGACGCTCCTCCTGATATACTTGCGCTCATGTTTTCCTTCAGTGAACTGATATGTTTTTGGTGTTCCAGTTCAAGTTTCATCTTCTGCTTTTGAAACTCCAACTGTTTGGCCTGTGCCTTTGCTGCTGCTGCATGCTCTTGGTTAAGCTTTTGTTCCATGAGCATTTTCTCATACTGCATGGCTTTGATATGGGCTTCTAAGGCTTTGGCATCTTGTGCAGCAGCAATCATGCTCTTCAGGTGTTTTGCGATCTTTCGCGTTCATTCATCATCTGCTTCAGCTAGCAATTCTTCGGCTTTTGCGCCCCATACGGAAACCTCTTCCTCTGATTCTCCTTTCCTAAATTTCTTTTCCTCAATACTCTCCTTTTGTGTGCTTACTGCTTCTGTGATATTAGCGATTGAGGCTTGGTGCCTCTCTAAGGCTTCTTTTTCATCCTTGGCGATAATTTCATCGGTCTTATTTGTTCGAAAACTCAAGGCTTTGAGTTTTCCATTCAGTTCACTGATCATCTTTTCCATCTTGAAGTTAGTCGGTATCACTCACGGTCCATTTGTTGGAGGTGCCAGGTTTTGGAAATGGAAAAGCACACGATATTCTTGGTTTCTAATTTATTGGTTGGTTACACGACATAAAAATCTCTCTCACTAAAGTAAAATTTGTCCTTTAAAGATATATAATACTGCACATACATTGTTTCACTTATCTATCAGAAAACATGTCAATATGCCCTATACCGGAATGTTTCAATTATGTCATGAGATTCGGCTCTTCTCAGCTTGCGTTAACTACAACTTGCATGTCTCACTAATAGAGCTCTAGACAGGTTCAATAGCACTAATTGAAAATGCAATAATAATCAAATATTACTGACAACAGTTTCCGAGAACCTGTCCATGATCTTGTACTTGTGATCCCCCATCCACCCCTTATAAAAGTTGCTAGTGATACAAGACCATGCTCAAAACTTGGATGAACTTGGAGGGGGGGTGGTGGAAAAAATCTTGTATAAGGCCATGTTTATGAGTGTTTTTTGCCGGTTAGCTGCAAATTCCATACAAAAACACATGAAAAGGGGAGGTATCCCAAAGCCTTTACATTCCAGAGGTAACGTATCTAGTTTTCCTTGAAATATCAATCAAATGCTATAGTATTCAGGGTTTGCAATTTTATTTTAGAGATAACATAACTGTTATGTTATATTTTCTAGCATGGGTGCAACTGTGTTTGTGCAGCCTCTTGATCTGGTCAAAAACAGGATGCAGATGAGTGGTGGGTATAATTTTTATGTGTTATAAAGTAGAACATGAAGGATACGTATTAGTACTGGTGGAAAGGTTGCATATAAATGGTAACATCACAAGATTTCATCTGCAGACTCAAGAGTGAAAACCTATTTATGCAGTGTAAGAGACCTCTCAAGTCTCACGGTTTTGAGGACAATCTTACGGTCTCATGATGAGGCACAAAAATCTCACAGTAAACAGATTCACAAGCTGATGGAATACACCTCTAGAATATTTTCATTTTTGGCTTGTAAAATTGATTTTCAGGCATCAATTCTGTAGAAATCCACAGTTCTAAGGCATATTTGTCATAATTGTTAATTGATTGTCTTGTTGACAAATTATGGACCTCAAAACCATATTTGGAAAACAAATGCCAAATGAGGTTATTGTTACCAGTTTGTTGCAGAATTCCTTCATTTTTTTCTTTGACATAATTAGTCCATTCCATTAACAAAAGTCGAATTTGTTTGGCTCATAGTGCTTTTTTAAAAAAATTTGAGTGGCGATTCGCCTGGACAGTCCAAAGCTGTCATGATCGTCTTTTTGAAGGTCAAATTTAAGCGTTTTGTTCAAGGCTCGCAAAACTTTATTCAAAAAAGGCAAAATATTTAAATTCTGACTTAAAAAAAAGGAATCATGATGTTTTGAAAATACCACGCAAAGCGTCCTTGAAAAAAATGCGCGGTTATCGTAGTTTTGAAATGAGCTTTTTTCAAAAGTCTGACGTTATCTGGAGTCTTGGTCACTACCCCTGGTCAGTACTTGGGCTCGTGTATTGAAATCAAGAAAAACATTAATTTTTTGGGCACTGTTGATTCCAAAGCACAAGAGTTCGATAAAGCTGGGTAATATTTTACTGTAATTGATCGTATAACCTAATTTTCACATTTTGGTGATTCCAAACTCTCCCACTGAAAATCAAACCAAGAGAGCAAATTATAAGTTAAAAAGTAGCTTTTATTGTTCGAGATAAACTGTGAATAACTAACAACCAAATGGTACACGAAAATAGAAATTGTGAAGTTTAATTGCCGAAATTATGGATTCCAGCGTAAGTTGTCATCTAAGTTTACTTCCTAAAAGCTGTTTACAAAATTTCATTCAACTGAATTGCTCGTAGGTTTTCATGATCAACAAAGAAAGAAAAAGCTTTTCGTTCAGGTAAAGCATATAAGTATTTGACGAAAGTGAGTTCTGTTTAAAAGCATTACACGTGTTAATTTCCCGTCACACTGGCTACGCGTGAATGTCAGTTTTTTTTAGCTTGTCACGCGTATGTACTTTTTTAATACAGTTGACAAAAAGCATAAAACGTTTTTTCAAGTTTTTGAAAAGTAACTGTTTCCACAATTTTTTTGAATTCGAGGTTGAAAAACCCTGTTGGTTACTATAATAGTGGTTTGTGCCTAAATGCGGTTGGTTCACAGCCTTCAAGAAATTCGGATAGGTTTGCTACAAGATTTTTTTTCTATCGCGAGAACTAAAATGAATTTCAAAGTATTTCAACATGTCCTTGAGCATGGCAACACTAAATGTTTCAAGTTTCTTCTCGTGTGAAAGGTCACGTAAACAGTATGAATCATAGCAGATAGGATGCTTAGGACCAAGGTGGGTGGCCACCTCTTCCAGGACGGTTCATCTCTCTTGCTCTTCCTGTTCCACCTGTACGTCTCCATTGAGCGCTTCTCGATGTGCTTTGCTTCTTCGCGAGGCCGCAAGCCTAAAAAAAAATCCCGTACTTGACCCTTTGTGAGCCAATGTTTCCTTTCAAACATCCGAGAACTATCTGGGTTTCTTGCAGTTCACATATCTGGTGCCACTTTTGCGGGATCTGTCTTGATGCCAGTTCTTTCTCTAAGGTCAAATTTCGTTGTTAGGTACTCTTTAACCTCGGTAGGAAAATGCACAGCTTCGTTTCGGGGCTTGTGTACAGCCCATCCAGTCTGCAAGTCACAGTCTGCAAGTCACTGCATTGGGGAGAGCGGCCAGTTTCATTCTTTTCATGACGCTCCTCTCCAACTGCTACAGGCACGCTTCCGATTTCTTCGTCCTTATCAACAGTATGAAATTTCTCCTCCCAGTCTCTTCTGAGCTTGTCATACACCGTATCAGAGTGTCGTTGAACTTGGCTGTGCTCATCAGCATCAAGGTTATTTTCCAGTTTACTGAATTTCTTGAAAACCATGTCGTACCCGGGCTCAGAACAAGAGAAACGACCATTGCATTGTTTGTTTTCACTGTTTGTCTCTCTCTTATATACTCGAGCTTCTATGAGTGGAAAGAAGTTCTCATGCACAATGAGGTCAGTAGGACCTTGAGGTTCAGTTATGACTTCTCGGTAAGGAATAAACCTGCCCAGTCCAACACCATAAGCTCTCCATGCTCTAATTCCTTCCACTTCAAACTTGAAATTGTAATACTTGCTGAAACCTTCTATCTTATGTACTTCGAGTGTCTTTTGAGTCTCGCTTATTGCGCACACGGTGGCAGGTGTACTTTGAACAGGGCATTCTGAGAGTGCTACACGCATGTCTCTGGCAGAAACGACACCGTGTCCCTCATTGCAATATCGTCGGATTGATGATTTCATTGGACAAAGGATTCTATCACATATCTTTTCCATACTGCGGCTGGAAAAGTCATACCGTGCTACTTCAATGCCTACTCGTCTTCTGGCATCTCTAACGACAGCTAAGAGAAAGTTATTGTGGTAACAGCCTGCTTCATCACTCCTTAGGTTCACTTGGGTAATCTGGGGATGTTCTTTCTGTACAACCTCAAGCGTGTTTTTGATGATCGAGCATACTGCGTACCAGTCTTGTTGGCAAGAGTCGAGGATATGAGCGTACGATTTCAGCTCAATTTTTCCAGAGTCAACGTTCTTAGTTATAAGGGTGGAAATATGCCAGCTCAGCCCCGGTTTGCAAAACCATTCAGACTGTTTCTCGCAAAATTTTATTTGGAGGAACTTCATAGCCCAGTCCATGATCAGAATGGCTGACTGTGGGTCTTCTGATTTTAGTACATCTTGTTTTGCCTCCTCCTGATTTATTGAGCGCACAATGTGTGCTTTCCACAACAAGATGTCTGACTGTGCACGGTCAAAGTCATAAAGGACATCTTCTCTTTGTTTGCAACTGTAAGGCTTCCACGATGACCCTTCAGTCGCTAGTCTCACTTCCTTTAGAACATCCTTCAGCCCTTGGCATTGCTCGCAAGTCGATTGATGCTGATGCGGACAAGAATGCTGGAGCTCGGGATCAACAGGATCACTAAGCGCAAACTTTCTACAGTGGTCAGCACAAGTAGAGTAATACTGTTGACAGTGCACACAGTAGTCAGTTTTGAGATAGCGTTTAGCATCGCATAGGTTTTGGCAAATACGTAGACACCACTGTTTTTCCATTCCTCCTTTCTCAAGAGTTTTAACCAGCGTCTCGATACTCTGAAAGCCAGCAGCACTATCTGCAGCCCTATTGTCTAAGCCCTGGAGCGATACACACTGAGACGCTTCTCGAACCTCCAATATTTTAAACAGTGAAGACCTACTAAGTGGCTCGTGACATTGCTCTTTGCAATACTCCAAGTATTGCTCAATCATTGTAGACCTGGTCAGGATCCTTACTACGTTAGGCATCTCAATTCTGTCACCATTATCTAGGGTGAGTACCTTGTTACCATATGAAACATCCTGATAAATGTACGGTCTGTTAATGAACTCTACAAAGTGGTCGACCTTCCACATATCAAAGCGTACACGATGCTTCGTCTTGATTTCAGGGATGGTCCCAGGGCCGTGCATTTTAGCATGAGAACGTGCTTGCTTTATTTCCCATGTAGAGAGACTTTCTTAAAGTTGGTGAATTTTCTTCAGTTTGGTCATAGGGTATCTATGAGCGTAAAGGCTCAGAATTTGTTTCTTTAAATTCCAGGTCTTTGCGTTCTTATAAGCAGTCATGAGTACCACAAGATCATCGGGGGCTGAGCCATCAAATAATTCTCTTTGTACAGACATCATTGACTCGAAGAGCTCCTCTCGTTACCTGGGGCTCATGTTCTACTTGTTCTTGTATAATAAGACTCGCAATTGTATCCATTGCCTCGTTATACCTGCTGACTGCATCGGTTACCACGGGTGTAGTAAAAGAGGCCTCCTCTGACCCTGGAATCCAGCATGGTGTTGTGGGATTCCAGGAAGCTAGTGTTGATTGGTCTTCAAGAAATGGAGTCAAAGTGACCATGGAACCGATGGCTCCCACGGCAGCCTCTTTAGCAGGTCTGCAGAGAATAGAAATGGAAAGGCTGCCACTTAGTTGCCTTGCGATAGGATAACCTGACAGAGCAACCGTGTATGTATTTTTTATAAAACAACAACCAAACGACTACCCTCCTGAAAGTACCTTTGAAGGAGCACATCTCCCTCAGTTTCCTCGGGGTATAGCCAGTCTGATTTCCGATCTAATTCTTCACTGTGTTTCTTTCTGCGCGTTGTGCAAGTAGCTAGTAACAAAAAGAAACAAAAAATAGTTTTGCAACCTGGAAAGACTTGTTAAAAAATACTAGATTTACTACTAAGTTGATAAAAGAAGCTATATCTTTTCAGTAAAATCCAGCTAGTGGTCTATTATCAATGCTGCGTTCTGATTGGCTGAGCTACTACCAGGCTATATTTTATAGCTCACTAGTAGTGAAAAGCACGGGCTTTTTGGTGGCAAAAAAGCATTAAAGTCTAGCTTTAACTCACTAAAATTTCTTTATTCTTGATAATTTTTTAGCAACTAGTTGGATTTTACTAAAACAATTATTCCTCTCACCCTCATGGCCTCTGAGTTATAGCCCATTCAGCCTTCGGCCTCATGGGCTATTGACTGAGAGCACATTTGAGCTTGAGGAATAATTGTTAAATATTCCATCTTGGAATTATATTATATAGGCTATAAATCAGCGCCCAGCTTTATGGATGACGCACAGCGAAGAACTATTGCTAATGAACTACAAAAACCAAATTATGATCATTTGATTTGCTATTTGTTTGGAAAAGTTTTTCTGGCTGCAAATACTATCAAATACGGGATCCATCGTTTATCATTCATGATATATACTGAATGGGACTTCCCCTCAGTCCATAGCTCACTTTTAAGTAATTAGATCATGAATGAATATATTTAGTTGAAATGTTAAGGAAGACAAAACCTTTTAATTCTGATATGTTAATTATAAAATGAACGAATAGAACAGTTATAGTTGCTAGTCTGATAGTACTTACGCGAGCCAGCGGGAAGGGCTTCTCCAAAGATATTTTTTATTTCCCTTGCAGTTTTGAAATTAATAACATGTGTTCTGGCTATTGCCATTTTCTTCCTGTGATGTTTTGGATACTGGCAGGTCTTTGGTGCTTGCCAGTATTTTCCCAAAGTATAGTGATGGACTGGACAAACTGTCATATTCTTGATCTGATCATCAGTGAGTTCTAACAGACCTGCCCCTGCCAGTACCAGATCCATTTCACAAACATTTTCCCTCGGCAGTGATTCATTAGGTGTAAACTGATGTCAGCATTGCAACTGTTCAGGCACGCAAAATCTACACATCCTGGATTACTTCCCCATTTTCCGCCTGTTACTGCAGAAAAAAACAAAATGCAGCCATTCTATCTGCAAAGGTTATCCCGGCACAATGTAAATACAGTCTAGGTTTTGTGTTGCAAATTTGCATACAAAATTAAATTAAGTGAACGGCGCCAGAAAAATTAACTTAAATTAAATTAAAAACTTGAAGAAATAGTAAACCAGCAACACATTTTTATTCTTAAAAGTAGCCAGTTTTTTTGTACTTTGTTTATTTTACCTCGTTAAGCCTGATAAGTAGTTTCAGCTTCGATAAAATAACATCCAACGTGTTTTGCACTACAAACTGAAGTCTGAAATTGACATCCTCAGGCACAACATAAATTATGTCATCTGGACACAAAAACTTGTGGCTAGAAAATTAGGTACATTTTGGTAAACTATTTCTTTACTGAATCATGTCATAACTTTTGAGGTGGTAATTGCGCGGTAAATCTATTCATAATGAATTTTAACTTTTTTACCGTTTCAGCCCCTTTATTTCAACGAAATTTCTTATAATAACTGTTTAGCCGCAACTTGACATAGCAAGATTCACCGGAGCTGCTACTTTTTTTGTAACATCCCAATTTTAGGACAATATGTAGTGGATTTTAAGATATTCACTGTTTATCCCCAGCATTAATGGTTGCTCCCTGACAGTAATGATTTTTAGTTTTGTAGTAGGAAAGTTTGGAATCAGGAAAATGCGTAAATTACATCATATGCACAATTACAGTAGAATATTACCCAATTTTATCGAACTCTTGTGCTTCGGAATCAACAGCACCCAAAAATCTTTTTCTTGATTTCAATGCACCAGCACTAGTACTGACCAGGGATAGTGACCAAGACTCCAGATAATGTCAGACTTTTGAAAAAAGTGTATTTCAAAACTAGGATAACCACGCATTTTTTCAAGGACACTTAACGTGGTATTTTCAAAACATCATAATTCCTTTGTTAAGTAAGAAATTAAATATCTTGCCCTTTTTTGAATAAAGGAAGAATGAATTAAAATCATACTTCTGTTTTATGCTATTTGGGTGAATGTGAAATTTTTGTGAGCCTTGAACAAAACGCGTAAATTTGACCTTCAAAAAGACGATCATGACAGCTTTGGACCGTCCAGGTGAATCACCACCCAATTTTTTTTTTAAAAAAGCACTGTGAGCCAAACAAATTCGATTTTTGTTGATGGAATGGGCTAATTTTGTCGCAGAAAAAATTGAAGGAATTCTGTTTGCCACGGAAATCTGAGTGGTCGGTTCTTACACGGACCGCCTCTTAACAGTTGACATGTGGACATTTCCAACAACAATTTAATGTCTTTCCTTTTTTGATTTGAAGTGATCCTGAAAAGGTCTGATTTTAGTGAATCTAAAATCTGATAATATTTATTGTCTTTTAGCTCTCTAATGTCACCTCTGTCAAATCACCTACAACCTTCAGAATTGTTTTTATTTGTACTTGCCCTCATTATTTGTCTGTATATATGATATCTGATAGAAGTGCAACTTGAAGAACATTGCACACATGTCAGCTTTTTTCCTTAATAGAAATGGACCATCATGGGATCAAATAATATGTTTCTGGGAAACTGCCCACATACCCCTTCCCTAAGCCAACATTAAAGCTTACTTCTCACTTAGGGCAAAGTGTTGGCTTAAGGGAGGGTATGTGGGCAGTTTCCCAGAAACGTATAATAAACATTTAATGACTGGTTCCGAGGAAAAGCATTAATTTTGTTTCCTGAGATGGAGCTGAGGGAAACGTTGAGATGTGAGGGAAACAAACTCAACTGTTTCCCGAGGGACCAGTCTTTAAGTGATTTTTTATATGGCCCATGAAGAACAAAAAACCTTTTTTGAGTACAGATGTATGAAAATAAATCTCCCAAACAGTCAACATTCACGGGTAACATTGCACTGTTGCCCTCTGACATCATGGATTTTGCATTGTTGCCTGCTCAGAGATTTTGGCAGGAAACAGCTTCATTGTTAGATGTCATTAGACATCAAAGTAACCTATGAGAGCATGCACTGTTGAGAAAAAATTTCCAGCTACATAACAAAAACCATTATGCAGATCAAGGAGGATGTAACGTCTGAGTACCTCACATCAATTATTATTATGTTCTATTCAATCTAAGCACCTTCCAAATTTGGTTGACACCAGCTGGATATTATAATTAACAATTATTTACCGAAGTGGATATTTACCGAGGCGGCAAAGGGAAATATCCACCACTAGCCACCTCCAATGTGGTGAATAATTGTTAATTATCATATCCAGCTGGTGTCAACCAAATAGGTAACCTGAGGTGAATAATCGTTTTAGTATATACTGAAACAGTGAGATAATTGGGCACAAAGATGATGATTTTTAACTCATTTACTGGTGCCAACTATTACAGTTTTGGCATGCAATGACCGAATGGCTGCAGTCATCGCTTTTTCTTGCCGACAAATAAAACTTTTAAAGGCATTTGTTTAGCTCTTGCAGGCAAATTTCTTCAAAAGGAGTTGTGAATTCTTTTTGTATTGAAAATCATTCTGTAAAAAAGATTATTAAATTTAGTTTTAAGCTTATTTATAAACAAGTCAACTAAACAAAGTAATGCAAGACTTGAGCTTAATTTGCATTCGTAGACAAAAAACTTATTCAGCAAATTCAAATTCAATCAATTCAGACAAAAAACAAATTCAAGTCAAAAAGACAAAGGTTTACCTGTTAAAACTTCCAAAGCAAACTTCGTCACCTTCTTCGTGTATTTCAGGAACAGCTTGCTTGATTAGTTGTGAAATTTCTTTGTTTGTTACAGCAGCAAACCGGAAAGGCATTTTGCTCGCAACTTGCGCAAGTTTGGTGCTGCTTGCTCGGAGGAACTGGAGGTGAATCAGTGAATAGTGCAGGTTATTCACTGATTGAGTCGCCAATCAGAGTGCACAAAAATCACTATCCACTGTTTTAGTACGTACTAATAAGGTTTAGCTGGGAGAAAAAATGTCAAGCAGAAACAGAATAATTATTTTGAATGAATAGTGATTTTATTTCTTTCGTAGGTGTTGGTGGTGCGGCAAAAACACACAAGAGCAGTTTACATGCAATTGGCTCCATTCTGCGACAGGAAGGCTTTCTAGGTGTCTATAATGGGTTAGTATTTTAGGGGTGTGTTTGATTGATCATATTTTGGAATAATAATAATGCGGAAAGTTTTGTTGCAAATCTCTAATGTAGAATGCTTTTTGGGCCGCATGGTCTATACTCTCATTGACCTTGACTCTTGATCAATCGTTGCATTTGCCCCCCATGCAGATGTTCTTAGGGCTTTGTAACTGCCGACCGGTTAGCTCAATGGGATAAGCGCCGGTCTGCTGAGCAGGAGGTTGCGGGTTCAAACCCCAGCCGGACCAACACTCAGAGTCTAAATAACTGAGGAGAAAGTGCTGCCTTTGTAATAACATCTGCAAACGGTTAGACTTTCTAGTCTTCTGGCACAAGGACGATAAACCGTACGCCCCATCTTACAAGCCGTTGCACAAGTAATAAATCTGTAGGACGTTAAAGAACCCACACACTCTTCGTAAAGAGTAGGGCATGTAGTGCCCACTGCAGTGATCTATCTCACTTTCAGACTCATGTATGGGGGCATCATTTCTCATTCCTTCATTACTTGTAAACTGCACCTTAAGCAGTCTGGCAAAGTCCCCCAACCAGTGTTGTAAATTATCCCTGAAAAGTCCTGGGGGGGTGGATAATAAGATATTTACAATTTGTCATGTGTTCCTTCCTCACATGTAGGATTACTTGAAGTTATTGTAAAACACTGATTGGCAGAGACACACTTGACCATGGTAATTTTTAACATCTCCCTATTACACTTCTGTTGCTTTTAGATTATCTGCTGGTCTTTTACGACAAGCAACCTATACTACAACAAGACTTGGTGTCTTCACTTCACTAATGGAACACTTTAAAAGGTAAATGTTGTTAACATTCATAATACACCAGTGTTTACTTCAAGAAAAGATGGGGCAAGGTAAGGCAACTCACCTGCGTATATGGATCATACCAAAATGGCTTCACCTTCTCTAAAGGCAAAGACTAGCCACAAAAAAAGAAAACTTACAGTAACAAAAATTAAATAAAAATTTTCATTCCAAGAATGTTTTTTTTTGTTCCTATGTTTTTGAAGTGTCTGGAGATTTTTTGGTATTTCCCCTAATTCTTGAAAGTGATTTCCTTTCTAGTTCTTGAAGAGGTTACTTTCCTCCCACTGGTGCTCACTTCACTGAAGTGTCGTAGCAGTGTAAAATGCCTGCGCGCACGAACTACGGTTTATAAAACTATATGTATGGATGAAATATGACCAAAAAAAATCTTTAAACATAATCTTTTCTAAGCTTATGTATTGTCTAATCATTTATTTTTATAAAGTATATCACACAGCAGTACATCAGAGTCTTTCGACTGAATGTTCTACTTGTAATCCTAAGAGACATGTGTTATATTTGAAAGTATGCAATGTATATTGAAGAGTTGAGTAAAATAGTTGATATATTAACAAGTCATCACTGTGGCTTATGATGAAGGTCTTCTTGTAGGAGTCTGTTTCGTAGACAGGAATATTAAAAACTTTCCTCATCCTCAGCTACGTATTATGAGCCGACTTTGGCAGCAGCAAACTGTTTAGCCAGTTTTTGTCCCGCAAAATATTGCTACAAAGGTTTAAATATGGTAGTGTAGGGGGTGCTAGCCCTTTCTAATGCTTCATTCTACTTACTTAACCATGCCTTTTCTTGCAACTTATTATTTTTTTGCCTATCTTTCCATTTTTACTTTACATGCGAATAAAATGTACTTTTGCATCCGGTAGCCCCTGGTTGTATTCCATTTTACATCTTCATTCCTTCAAAATTTATGAAGTCCTGAAATTCTAGTAGAGTGCCTCTTTTAGTCTTAATATATATTATCACCAACACAAAGCCAAGTCAGCCTAAATGCATAAGATATAGAAGAATCGGCCCAAGGCTTTGCCAATCGGTGGACCAGGATAAAATACGAGGTATGCCCCATCGGTACAGGAGGAGGGAGGGGTGAGAACTGCTATCGAGGGTGCTGAAACCTAAACTTTACTACAACTGACTGAATAATCAAGCAGGCTACTCTTAAAACTGACAGACTAGGTCTGTAGGTATGCCGTGTATTCTCCCGGGCCATGCTGAGAAATGTGAGGAAGTGCATTGATACTAATTTAGGCTTTGCGTGTGTCTTCTGTGGCAAGAATAGTCTTTTAGTAACATATAGTTGACTTCATTTCTGTTTGACTTGTACAGTGTTGCATTTGTCCTTTTTTTCTCATATTTAGTCCTGATGGAACTCCACCTTCTTTTCTTATGAAATGTGCTCTAGGTAAGTGCGTGTATTCTCATATTGAATATTTTGTTATATTGATTTATTTAAGGTATTTGTTTCAGGGCTGGTTTTTCTGATTATTTGTTGAAAACTTTTTGCTTGTAATTCCATTAATCTAGGATTATTAGTTTCAGTCAAGCCAGGCCAAGTGTACCCCCATTGGTTCTATAATGAACTGATTAGTTTAAAAAGTAGAATCCCGATTAGTCATTGTCTCGACTTGTCACTATTCTTGCATCCATTTAGACTGAGTAGTGATTTTAGACTTCATTCTCCGGTCTGTATTCAAATAGATAACATTCTTATGAAGGCTTTGATATTGAGTTCAAGAAGAAAGCTGAGCTAACAGAGATTTTAACTACCTGCCCGTGTAAATTCACTGCTCAGAAGATATGCAAAAGTGATGAAATGAATCTGATATTGGCTTTTACCTATCAGATATCAGATTCAATTTTCCAATAGTATGATAAATTTATAGGTACATGTAGTCTTGACCACACTTGACTGTAATCAGCCAAGGGTGTCATGAACACACAGAATGATCCTTTAATCTAATTAACTTCAGATCTCCCAACCCCTGAAAAAGAAAAATCTTAGTGAAAAAAATTGGAAGATTCTTTGAAAAGTAGTGAGATTCCATTTTTTTTTTCCTGATCAATATAAAATGAACCCTTTTTCTATTGAGGGAATTAATTAGCTGTTTCTTTAAAAATTATCTTGCTTTTTTTATATTGGTGTTCCCTCTTAATGGCCAAAATGTTAGATTAAGTGTCATCAAAGCTTTAAGAGGCACTAGCCTTTCCCGCGAAATTCGCAAGGTTTTTTCAACAAGGTTACATTTTATGTCAAACTGATATTTCCCAAAAAGCTGTGAGATTGAGAGACTTGACATGAGGCTGTGAGAAAAGTTAAAAAATTGTGAGACTCACGGTAGAATCGTGAGAGTTGGCAGGTCTGTAACTTATATCAATGATACCATTGATGCTGCCATAAGTAACCACCTAATACCAAGATTTGGTCATTTTTGTGGAGATTAAGTAACTATGATGCTGTAGTTGTGGTATTTTTGGTTAAGAGGTTACATATGGAGGTTTAACTGCACTTGCATGTTGTTGTATAATGAGGCCCTCATAGGGAGGGGGTGGGGGGCTAGTCATCTACTAATATATTGGACATACAGTCAAACCCCATTAATACCAACACTGAGGGGACCATAGAAAGTGTCTGTATTAAAGGTAAAGGGCCTCCTTTCCCCAGGGACAAAGCAAACTCTCCATAATAATGAGGTGTTCATATTAAGTGGGTGTCCATAAAGCAAACTTTGACTATAATTTGTTTTAAAATCCAAATATTTGTTTTCTTCAGGGATGACTGCAGGAGCTGTAGGTTCATTCATAGGCACACCAGCAGAAATTTCACTCATAAGAATGACATCAGATGGAAGGTAAAGACATTTCTCCACTCCAGTAGTTGTACTGCTGTTTTAGCTGTAAACAGGGCTCTCAAAGCTCACACATTGAATTAAAACTCATTGGACTTAGGGCAAACTTGTTCCCTAACACAGAAGCCAACAGAGTTTATATGCGATCAGTGATCTTCACAACACTGAAATGATTAATCTTGTTAGTAGCCCTTAAAAGCTAAAAGAAAAGTCAGGGACCAGCAATATTTTAACAGATCAGTGCAGGAATGTCACTAAGATTTCAAGTTCCCGGGTAAATACAACAAGTAGGAGGGGAATCAGACAGTTAGGAATTTCTTTTGGTTATATTTTTCTTCTGTTTCCCTATGAAAGTAGCCGGGGGCCACATATATAGTAGCTGGGGCAAAACCACGGCCCCTGCCTCTTAATGACAGCCCTAGCCTGCGTAGCAAGCGTTTCTGTGCGGTTTGGGAGTAAAGAACGAGGAACAAGAGTCAAAGACCGCGCGAAAAATGGCGCAAGGATCAGTGGCTTAGCTGAAGTGACAAGGAAAGCCACCAATCTAAATATTGCTGAGTGTTCAAAATAGCAGAAAAAGGGTTCAATTTTTCAAATTTACTGGGAAAGAGTGCCTCAAGACCCTTTTCAGCTAAAACAGTTTTCACATGACTTGTAGCTATCTCGGAATCTCTCTCTTAATACCTGTTTCAACATGAGGACTGTGCGAGGATAGCCTGCAGTGCAGGCGTATTTTGGGTGGGCGAAACCTTGTTCGTGTACATAATATTGTTGTAGCCGCCATCTGTGATTTTATGACAGTGGAAGATTGGGGAGAGTAGAAATAGTGCAGGCGTTTTCTCTTCTCTCTTCTCGCCCCCTCCTCGCTCCCTTTGACTCGCCCCATTTCCTCCTCTCTTCGGGAAGTTTCAACACGGCGCTTTCGCGAGCAAATTGCGCGCTCAAAGAAAACGCCTGCACTGCAGGCTAGTGTGAGGACAGTGTGAGGACTGTACGATAAATGACTTAAAGATGTTGTGAAGATCACTAACCTTCATCTCACCTCAAAAGATTGACTGAAAGTGTGCTACCTGAAATATACCCGACGTAGCATAGGTTTTTTCTCTGCGTGCAGCAGGATGAAAGCTCTCTGGCACCCCGTTTTCAGAAGTGCCTCGCTCTATCACTGTAGTAACCAAACACATCCCTTCATTTTAAACTGTTTAATTTTGCTATTTTTGCAAACCACACAAATCTCATCACTCAAATAAGAAACCGCAGAGCACTGCGACACTGTATTGAAACATTGTTTTTGTAGGGAACTGAAATTTCTAAAGGAATGATATATTTTCACAGGCTCCCTGTTGAACAACAGCGCAGATATACAAGTGTGTTTAATGCATTGTATAGAATTACAAAAGAAGAAGGACTAATCACTCTCTGGAGGGTAAGGTTATGCAGGATCGCCGAATTCACAAAAAACCAGTGAAAGCTGCAGATAAAATTAGTATAGGTAATAGCATGATTTGTGGTGATATTTGGCATAAATACCACGAGTGATATTTCAAAATTGTTATACGTAATTTCACGAGCCGTTAGGCGAGTGAAATTTGAGACAATTTTGAAATATCACGAGTGGTATTTATGCCAAATATCACGTACAAATCATGCTATTATTTGTTTATACTTCTTCCCACAAAAGGTTTGTAATTTTCACATATAGGTATTTCAAATTAAGCTGAAATACCACTGCTCTAAGCCAATCAGATTGCAGAAATTTCTCATGTAGTAGTATAATGAATGTAATAAGATGCATCGAGAACTGTCCAAAAGTAAAGAAACTTACAAGTTTAACAAAGTTGCATGTTTTCATTTATATGGTGGTTCTTTCCAGAGCTAGTGAAAAACGTTTGTACATTACTGAAAATAGAGACTGTTTTTACATTTTCCCTCCTGGAGACTGCAGCTTTGTCTCTTTCTTTCTAATGTTTAACATTATCAGTGAAGTGAATTAAAGATAGAGGCTTTAAATGTGTACATGTATGTGCTTGTTTTGAAGTGTTGTTGCAGTATTTTAAAGTACTGTAATTTCATACTGGCGTATACAGGCACTGCTAGTGGATGTTCCTTCCAAAAGGTCTTTTAACCCTTTAAGCCCTAAGAGTGATCAACATCAAATTTCTCCTTGTAATGTCAATGCTTTGTAAAACAGAGTGGTCATGAGAATTAGGGACATGATCACACAAGATGAATTTACTTGATATTTTATCAACTTCTCCCCACTACTTCTGTAGGAAATGAGTAGGGGCAACAAATGAGAATTCAAATCTTGATCTTAGGGTTGAAAGGGTTAAACAGGCTATGGAACGCTACTTTCTATCTTTATTAAAAAGGTAAAACTTGTCTTTTCATCAATTGAACCCCCCCACCCCCCCTTCCCCCCGAAACTGTTTCCTGTCGTCTGTTTCTACGGATGCCGAGGATGGACATGCATTGAAACTTGAAAAAATTGGGCCAACATTTTCAAGCTTAAATGCTATGCCTGCCAAGATTATCTCCAAATTCCTATGGTTCATGCAACCTGATGAAATTTGTTTGACATGCTTTTCTTGACTTAACAGAAGCATTTTGTGTGTGGGTGAAAGCACTAATTAAAAACTTCAGCACAGAATTTACCTGAAACATCAGTGTCCTTGTAACATTAGAGAGTTTTAGATCCGAGTTTACCGCGAACCTCTAACCGCTGGAGGTCACGTGACAAGTCTTTCGCTTCACGTTTGAGGTTTACGACGTGCGTTTTCAACGTGGGGAGATAGGTTTTCACGTATGTCATTTACCTGAACACTTTTAGCGTATAATTCTTGTTTCATCCCACGTAATGATACAAAAATCTTGTGGAGCAAGTCTTTATCCATTAACAGAGGCACAAATTCGGGCGAAATGCTAAATTTTATAAATCCTATTGGATCTTGAAAACAAGTGCCATTCATGGCTGCTGATTCAAAATGGCGGCCTTAATTTAATCCACCGCCAATCTAAATCGAATTTTGTTTGACCGTCGAACCGCAGACGGGTAACCGCAAACCGCGGTTAGAGGTTTGCGGTAAACTCGGATCTAAAACTCTCTATTGCCTGTTTAATGGTTTGTTTTCCTCTATTATTAGGGTTGTGGTCCAACTGTTACTCGAGCCATTGTTGTTAATGCTGCACAATTAGCAACTTACTCTCAAGCCAAACAAGGCCTTCTTTCCACAGGTTAGTAAGATTTAAGGTTTTTATTGCCCCATCTGAGGTAATACAAAATATATGTAATGTTATGTCATGTCGTGGATTAAAGGACAAGAAGACGCGCTCTTTTTACATATTATCATGTGAACAGTAAGCTCGGACTTCAGCATAAAGAGTGTCACTGGCAGCCGCATCAGTCCATTTATGAGCTTACTGTAACTCCCACGCCCCCCCAACATCGTTGCCACCGGGGGAATGTCCCCCACTCTTTTCGAACAGTATTAGGGTTCTTTAACCTCCCCTTTAATTTTGACTGATGAAAGAAGAATGAATGAGACAAGGCCAATGGCTTAACGTCGCCGCCTAATGACGCCATCATTTTAACTGAGACAAGATCTTAAATCACAACCAGCATTATCTCACCAGTTTTTTAAAGACCCTGCTGTTGGTCCGGTCGGAGTTTGAACCCTCGACCTTCCACTCGGCAGACTGGTGCCCTCCCAACTGAGCTACGAGCAGCGGTTACGGATTCCGGGAAGATTTTTCTTGTGGAATCCAGAATCCAGGGGTTTGGAATCCATTTTTCAACTCAAGGAATCAGATTTCCCACTGGCATAAAGGAATTCGGAATTCAGTTTTTTAAATCTGGAATCCACGGTATGGAATCCAGACAGGGGCACCCAACGTCAATTTTCGGAAAATATCTGTTCGGAAGACGATTTGAGGTATAGAATTTTCGGAACATTTGTTGTAAAATTACTTGCTTGCCTGCCTCTCCTAGGAGTTTCGAACATCTAAAAAATGGTATAATTACACATTTTTAGCGGATTTTTACCCTAAAAAGGTCACCTTGAATTTTCGGGAGCCTTTTTTCTGGCTGAAATTTTCGAAAAGGTAAGTTTTGATCCTTATAATTTTCGGATCACTATACTTTCAGCTAGGAAATCCGAACAGATGAAAAATTTTTAGGGGATACAAATGTCACCTTTATCTACCGTTTAAATACTCAAAAACGGTTAACAATGCTATGTTTAAGTAGCCTGAATTTCATCCGATTACTTCGAGTCTTTATTACTCCCTCAGTTGTTGAGAGGAGAAAACGACTCGAAACAATCGGATGAATTTCAGGCTGATGTTTAACTGGTTTTGAGCCATATTCTCGTTGGGTGCCCCTGTCCAGAATCCAAGACTACCTTGGATTGCCTTACTGGGGCGAGCCTTTTTTGTCACCGTTAGTTCCATGTGTACAATTTCTATCTTTGTCTATAGGCCGTTTAGTGACCAAGATAAACATTCGTTATTAAACAAATAGATTCCATTTTGTTGTGTGTCTGTTTCATTACGTATTTTTGTATAAATATCTAATGACTTTGGAAAGTCGTCCGTCGATTTGTTCTTACCACAGTTTGATGTCTTCTGTGATGTACATGTTAACTGAACATAGGTCAACAGACAATGGAAGATTTGTTCCATTTTTCAAGACATTAATACTGCTTTTTCTCTCGGTTTCTGCTTCTCTTTCTTCTAAATAGTAAATAAAATAGCTTCCGCTAAACTTTTTTCACGACTGATCACTGGCTAAATCTGGAATAATTGGGTAAACATTGTCAAATCTGTGCGCGATACTGGAGGGAAAAAAAGGAAATGTTTTTCTACGACGTCAGCCGTGTGTTTGTAGTTTACTCTAACAGTTCATAGATTATAACGATGCAAAATCATTTTTGTACAATAGAGAAAATTAGTCATTTACCAAAGGAAGAAAACAAATTTTTAGCGTTTTTCGAGAGCCAACGTTCGATATAGTCTGAGTGATATGTAAAGTCTTGTTGAGATGTCATTTCTTTGTGTTTTCAGGTTACTTTAAGGATGATCTTTTGTGTCATTTTGGTGCAAGTATGATCAGTGGTTTAGCGACAACTCTGGCATCTATGCCGGTAGATATTGCTAAAACTAGGTATGTACGTGGACCGACAAGGCTCTTATAACATAACAATTACCATTATTAAAAACTGAATTATTGGATAATGCAGTTCTAGAGCTCTGATTGTCTTAGCCATCATCATATATGAACCATTATTAAAAACTGAATCATTGGATAATGCAATTCTAGCATTTTGATTGGCTTAGCCGTTATGGTATATGAGCTAATATACCATGTTCTCCATATATGGTCGGTGTACGCGTCAGTTTAAAATTGGAAGCTAGCTGAGATTTTTTTTTTCGCGAAGGATAGAACGGCGCTCGAAGCAAATCGTTTTAATTCATTTCTTAGAATACTAGAAATGCAATTTCAACGAAAAAAAAAGACAAAAACAAACAAAAAGCCACAAGAGCTTGTTTGAAAGTTTGTCGAAAAACAGATGGAACTAAAGTACCTTGACCAGCTACGAAAGAAGACAAGTGTTGTTTCGTCATGATCATGAAGCCATTCGCCGATCGAGTCACTCGCCGATAGATAACTGCAGCTTGTTTATCCAACATCAAGAATATTAATCACAAGTAGCCAGCTACAAATACAGGCTATGCAGCCATTCACTAGAGCAATCGAGGCGGCAGTATAGCTTCTTTCCTCGTTCAGCAAAACCAGCTTGTGGCTTCAAACAACTTCATAACAAGCGACGAGGTAACACCGGTAGTTTTTCTCCGTTGTTCTTACTTTTATAACTGCACCGAAAATCCAAATTCATAGTAATTTTGACGGCTGTCACTTAAAAATTCCTTTCCTTCACATTATCTGCCAGGTTTTTTAAGCTGTTCTGCTGTGTAAAATCCTAGAATCACGATGAGTTTTTAAAAAACTAATGTTCATCGCACAATGTTTTGATTTTTCATTCATGCAATCTAGACGAGCCCGTTCGCGCGTTGACAGTTTTGATAGACGTGTGACATGTCAATAGTGGAAGTCCCTAGTCTTTTCCGGTTTGTTCTAGTCGGGGCGATTCAACGAGATTTTGTGGGCGTTTTTAATAAAACAATTATTCCACTCGGGCTTGTTGGATATGAAATGATTATAGCCAACTCGGCGCTATGCGCCTCGTTGGCTATCTATCATCTCATATCCAACGCGCCCTCGTGGAATAATTGTTAATTATACGATGCTTTCCAAATATGGTAACTGTACGCGTCTGCTCAAAATTAAAAACAAGCTAAAAATCGGTTGTTTTTATATTTCAATATAAATATTTTCATATCCAAAGCGCACTCCTGAAATAATTGTTAATTATGCGTTCAGTCATAATTTGTCTTTTTTATAAGACGTGCAATGAACTGAACGTTAAAGAGACCTATTTGGAGCCCCTAAATCCTGCGTTTTGAAGACTGGGTCAATTCTGAGGTAATATCATGACGATGTACCTCCAGAGTTACCTATATCAGTTATACCTATATTAGTTTTATTTATACCGTACCTAGTGAAGACAAGTCGGTCAAGTTACCCAATCAAAGCAAATACCGCTTGCTTCCTGTTTCTAAATCTTGCTAAAAATAGGTGAAAGAATAAGCAATTAAAACTAAGTAAAATGTTATTAAAAATTTCATTTTTCATCTATTGCTATGTGCACAGTGACCAAATAAGCCGATGCTCTGCCAGCAGTGTGCGGTGCGGTTTGTTCTGTAATGTAAAGAGAACTATATCACCCTGAAAGCAAAGCCTTATTTTTTCTACCTGACGCCAAAATCGAGGAAGTGAAGGAAAGTCTTTGCTAGCAGGTGGATCTGTATTACCATGAACTGTTTTCTCTTTCTCTTATTAGGATTCAGAATATGAAGATTATTGACGGAAAACCCGAATATCGAGGAGCAGTGGTAAGATTTCATTTACAGATCATATTGACCATACTCTATGGTTATTTCTTGTTTTGCGGGGTACATATCGCAACCTCTGTGATCTTCGGCGTCTTTATGGTCCGCGTTTTCGTTTTCAGTGGGCTTAAGTTGTTTCGTTTTCAGCCTGAAGTGGTTTATTTCATTGTTGAAAAAAAGAATTGTTCTATGAACATTGAAAGATAACGCCACGTAGGGCGGATTTAATTGATCAAGAAAGTGAATTGTGCAGTTTAAATTATGTACAGGAAAGGGAGATTTTTTCAATTACGAAGTTGTGAATGACGTCGAAATCATAATTCACCTTTAAGTTCTTTGTAATATTTGTGTCTCGCGGCGAAGTAATTAAAATCTTCAGCTAAATAGTAGTCTTGAGCTAAATATTTTTAAACGTGTAACTTAAATTTACCTTTAAATCTTTTTTGTCATAACTAAGGTAACAGCTTTCATTAATTCCGCGCTGCGCAATATTATATGAACTCGAGCGATTGATTTTTCTAGAACCAAAACTTCTCCGCTAAAACAATTGTTGTTCATTGTTCATTAGAAAATGTTTGTATTGGCTATTTATCGGTTGCTTATGAGACTGGGTTGATATTCTGTCGGACTGATCGATGGGACTCTTTTAAGACGCTTAGCCTGCGTAGAAGGCGTTTTCGTGCGGTTGCGGAGCAAAGGACGAGGAACGAGAGTCAAAGCCCGAGCGAAAAATTGCGTGAGTAGAGGAGCGGGAAGGGGTTGGGGCAAGCTATGGAAAGCTAGTAGCCTGCACAGCAACTGTTGTTGGGTGCGTTCGGGCAGGCCATGGGAAAAGAGCGCGAAGCGCGAGACACGCGAGATGAGGGAAAAAATGCCTTCCTCTCGCGTGTCTTGCGCTTCGCATCCGCGCTGTAAAACTCGCCTGCAACGAACGCCCCCAGTGTAGACCAATAACAGCTAGGCCCGGTTGTTCGAAGGCCGATTAGCGCAAACCCGGGGTTAAATTTAAATTCGGGTTACTTTATCGTTTTTTCAAAAGCATTTTCTCGGATAATTTTCTCTATTCTTTTTAGTTCGTCCAATTACCAAACTGTGGACAAAAAGAATTAAACTGAATTTTCTTTTTAAGGTTAACAGCTTAGTGAGAAACTTCAAAAACTTCAAAATCGTGCTATCAGAGTTATCACTAAATCTAGCTATGATGCGGGCTCCAGATATCTTCTAACTCGCTTGGTCGGGACAATTTATTGGTTAGAAGGGCTAAACAAAAGGCTAATTTAATAAACAAGTGCATTAATAATCTCGCCTCAGCTTATCTCTGTAATTTGTTTGCCCCAAGAACACGAATTACTATTTTCGCAACGCCAAGAAAAAATTAATGCTCCCAAAACCAAGAACTGATTACCTAAAGCGTAGCTTTAGCCACAGTGGCTCTCTTCTGTGGAACAATCTTCCTGAGAAAATACGTACATCAAATTCCTTAGGTCTCTTTAAGAGAAGTTCCCATAGATGGGTTTCTGATCAGTACTCCCACACGGCAATTATGGAAAAACATATCTGAATTCAAATTTCACACTAACCCTGGGTTACCGTAACCTAGCTTGGAACAACCGGGCCCTCTTGTACAGGCTAGGACGCTAGCGATTCTTTTATTAGCTAGAATGAGTATAAATACTAAATTCGGGGACCCAATCGCAAGTTACAACCTCAAAATAGCCTATTTGCGGGCGACAAGAGGAGCCCGCAGTTCTAATCTAGCGCTAACCTGGAGTTAAATTTTAACTCGGGTGTCTTTTTCTTTTTATCAAAAGCACTCTCGGATAATTTTTAGAGTATCCAATCATCAAATTGTAGGCAAAGTGAATTAAACTGAATTTGCTTTTTAAGCTCTCATAACTGAGTTCAAGTTTCGCACTAACCATGTGTTATTTTAACCCAGCTTTAAACAACCCGGCCCAGGTTGTTATTACGCATGTATGTAGCCAGCATTCGTTTGAACTTCCACTAAGAATGAATTGAATGCACTGAACACAATATGATCACGTGCGTTTGGACCTTCTAGCACTCACAATTTGATCACGGGTGTTTTGACCATCTATCAGGTGAAACTTACGCAAAGCACAGCGATGGAGCAAAACTGTTTTGACCTTCGATCGTTGTCGCCCGCACTCTGTAGCCTTTGGTTATTACAAGTTATACGAAGAATAGTTTGTCTGTTCCTTCGAAAAGAAAGTCAAACAAACACACAAAATGACTCGTATTTACGGAAGTTTTCTCCTTCCCCGGAACCTCTACGACCTGTTCAAGTCGTAACAGTAAGATTGAAGTGGCATCAGTGGTACGAGTTGTAAAACAATGCTTACCATTATTTGTGCGATTGGTTCTAGTAGTGAATGTGATACGCTTTATTGAAATAAATTGAAGTTGATCACTTGGTAGCCTCCCACGCAGACGTGACATTCTTTTGGTTCGTCACGCAATCCTCGTACGGGTGAGGAAGCCCTAAGAACGTCTGCGTGGAAGGCTGATCAGTTAGCTGCAGCATCTCATTAGTGTAGAGAGGGAGCCTTTCATGTGCTACGACTTACACGAGTGGTAGCCTGCCAGCAAGCTCTCCATTTGCGGGAGTGCGATAAGTCACGTGGGAGCAGCACGCGAAAGGAGACGCGAGAACGGAAGGGCCCTCGCGGCTTGCTTCGCTCGCCTTTCATGGAGAGCTTGCTAGCAGGCTGCACGAGTTGTATAATGAACATCTCACAAGTCCACAGAAGGGGCCTTAATTTCACTGAGATTGATCCCATTGACCTTCTCTCACGACTTGTACCACTGGCACAAGTTGCAGCACTCGAATCACGACTTTCACGACTTGAACAAGCGGTTGGTATTGGACAGAGGGGAGGGGAGGGTGGGGTACTCCCTCATGACTTAATCACGGTTTGTGTCCATTTTTGTTTCCAGGACGTGTTTCTAAGAGTGATTCGTCAGGAAGGGGTGTTTGCATTATGGAAAGGCTTCACACCTTACTATTTTCGCATTGGGCCACACACCGTTCTCACATTTGTATTCCTTGAACAATTTCAAAGGCTGGCTAGACAACACTTTGGCGCCACTTCCACTCTTTAGACACACACCAGTATTGGAATGATAAAAATGTTTTAGAAAATGTTTGTTATAGTGGGTCAATGGATTGGTTTGGAAAAAATGATCGGGGCGAAGTCTTTACAAATCGGAAGCGTTCCTTGAAACAGCATAAGATTCTAACGAAACTCCCCACCTAACCCTCCCCTAATCCAACTTTTTGTCCTAAGTGAGAGGTTTGTGTTTACGTTGGGTTAGGGGAGGGGTAGGCGGGGCGTTTTCCCAGAATCTTATCTGTTCCTGTCATGAGCAAACTAGTCTAACACGCAGGCTCTTTTGTGTCGTCACTCAAAGGAGAGTTACGTGACAAGAAAAAAAAACGTCTGTGTTAGAGACAATGGAAACAATTGTCCTCTTTAAAGCTATGGACTCACTGATTAATTGAGGCTGTAAATGTTGGACCTTGAAACAACCTTTTCAAACTTCTGAAAGTGCTTTGAAACAAGTTTGCATGGCAGCGGAGAATAAGTTAACAGTTGAAAATGTTCCTTTTCTCTTCGAACATGTGAGGAGTTGATAAACGTGATAACCTGAACTGTAACTTTTGCCTTTTGATATAATACTGAGTTAAAAGTGAGGAAAGTCGACTTGATAAATTACTGGTTACTTGGATTAACATTGTGAGATTAAATATCTACCTCGGCAGTTTATATTTGATCTTAATTTACAAACACCCAGGGCTATTTATAAAGATGATTGTAAAGATAAGTGTAACTTAAAAAAATGTATTAAGGGTCAGTTCTATCATATTTGAAACTCCTGTATTTTATCAGAATGTAATCATGAAAAGCTTTCATCTGGTCAAAGTGCTTGTTTTTTTTTCGTTAACTGGTTAATATATTTGTTGTGAAAGTGAAATCCTGTCTTTGTTGTAAAAATGGTACAAATAAACCTATGGAAGGTAAAAAAAATCGACTTGTTTAACTGCACAGAAAGATACAAAGTTAATTATTTATCGTTATTTATTTATGTATTAAAGTTATTTATCGTTAGACTTGAGAATATGTCAGGTGGAAGCCGTTCAATTTCGTTGTCGGATAGGAACCTGCACAAATAAGTGGTTTTAATGTAATGGGCTTGTAAGTGTGTGTGGAAAGGGGGGGTGCTTATAAGTTTACGATACCCAAACCCAGTCTACACAACTGCAACATATGCGTCTAATACAGTGGCGGATCCCGGGGAGCGGCCCGGGGGACCCGGGGCCCCCCTTATGTTTAGACAAAACTGAGGCCCCAAGGGCCGAAAAAATGTTTTTGGGAGTCCGCCCTCCCCCCCACCCCCACCCTTATCTCAAGGTCTGGATCTGGCGCTGCAATAGTAGCACAATCTCCCTGCTTCAAGTGAAATCTAGGAAGATCACTTTGTGCTACTTCATATGTAATAGTTTACGACGGCTCCTAACCCCCCACCCTTTCGTACCTTATGAGAGACTGGTAGTCCCACAATTATTGGAAGTCACACAATACCCCTTGGACGGGAAAGTGAGATGTCGCATGCTATGCTATGCCTCATACTCTTTTTCTCATTGTGTTTCCAGGATGTATTCCTGAGAGTGATCCGTCAGGAGGGAATTTTCTCTCTTTGGAAAGGCTTTACACCTTACTACTTCCGCCTTGGACCGCACACTGTCCTCACGTTTATATTCCTTGAACAGCTTCAAAGGCTGGCGAGACAACACTATGGTGCCACATCCACGCTGTAGACCCACACCAAGCTTAGCTTGGTGGAGTAATTACCTATACTAGCTACTTTTCCAATAAAGGGTCTTTTTCGTAAACATCTGATCTAAATGGACGTGAGAGCCTGGGGGTTAATCTGGTGGGGAAGCACCGCTGAAAGCCTGTTCATGACGTGAGCCTGTCAACTGGACCAGTTGCTCTTTCTTAACTTGAGTATCACGCGGCAGTTCCTAGGGGGGGTGGGGGGGGGAGAGAGGAAGAGAGAAACGAACTCCCCTCCCCTTGCTTCTCTAAAATTTCCTCCCCCCTAACCCTCTAAGGGAGGCCCAATACTCACGTTAACAACTGTCGTTGTGTTTATCCCATTTTTGGAAAATTCCTGCTGACTTTTCGGGTCGGAAATCAAAATATTCAAATCAAAATCTACATAATAAGAGAGCGGGGCCTAGCTAGCCCGCGTAGCAAGCGTCTCTAATCCAGTCATTGCGCGAATGCTGGAGCGAAAGTGACGAACTCCCGCGGGAATGCTTGCTACGCAAACGAACCAGTCCATTTGTGCTGTTGACTGATAGTTTTATCTCTTATCTGAAAAACTATTGAAACCTCGATCTTGAATGTAAACAACAGTAGCTTTCCAGAAACGGCCCCACAGGAACTTGGTTTTTGCTCCCAGGATTTGCGGAATGAAATTTTTCTATACTATAGTTATGAGACATATAAATTCTGACAGATTTCTTTCATGGGCGGATTTACGATTTGGCAGAGGCGACCATGTTTCCCCCGTCCTTTTTGAGAAATTTTGTATTATTTTTAAAGAATTCGCAGTTAAATAAATAGTATCTATAACTGGCGAGTGCCCCGGTCACCCCTTTCTGAATTTTTTGGATCCGCCCGTGCACTTTTGTTAGTTTGATAGCGTTTTTGAACTTAACCTTAACAACATTGATTGCTAGCGTTCTTATCTTTTTGACTGATCAACAGAAACGTCCAGTAAATATACTCATTCACGATGTTTGAGCCAGAAAACAAAAACTGTTTTGAAGTGGAAACTATTTTCCTTTAATAATGGTGATTCAATAAATATTAATGATTATATTCTCACTACAGCTTATCAAGGTCGGAGAGCTCCTTGTATTAAAAATTTAAAAAAAAAAAAAAAAATAGGTAAACACATCCTTGATTGTAAAATAGCCTCCAACTCAATTAAAGCCCCGTCCAGACGTGCCCGTTTTTGTTTGAAAATTGAGATTTTTTCCTCCCATTTAAGACCCTCATTCACACGTTGCGTTTTTGAATAGCGTTTGCCCGTCCACACGAAAACGCAATAGTGACTGATATGAGAAGAGTCTGAGAACGGTATCGTCTTTAATGGGAGCGTGCGCGCTTACTGGTCTCCAACACCATGACGTAATTATTCTTGTCCCTAGTCACGTGGTGTTGAAACGAAGGATACACTCGTTCGTTAGAAATTAAGCCGAGTGGCTCTGGATGAGAATGAAGATCAAATCTTGGTCAGTGTTCTTTTCTCTTCACAGCAGCTCTTTTAAAAGTCCTTCTACAATAGCTACAACTCAACCACCAACTGCGCCAAGTATTGGCAACCTACGTAAGTAAAATGTAAGTACGTTCGGGCCTGCTGACCGTAAGGGCTACGAACGCACTTCCTAATGACTTAAGCAAACTTCCTGTTGATCACCAAAGTGGGTGAAAACAAACTTATAAGGCCAATCAAGTCAAGAACAAGAAAACCAAAAAACGTGACAAACAAACGTACGAGGCTCTTCATTAAACCAAAACAGGAACTCTGTGTCGCAGGTAACAATCAAGGTCAGCTATAAAAATACAAATACGGATTAACCTTAGTGCTGTCAACTCTCCCGGATAATCCGGGAGACTCCAGATTTTTTACCATATCCCCTGGTCTCCAGATTAGAGTATGAAATCTCCCGGATAATTGCCGAAGTTTGCCATTTCTTCAGTAGACTCGAGTTTCCGACAATAAAGTGTCAACTATTTTGCGTTGTTTGGGCTATTTAAAGGAGCTGTGTCACGAAATTCCGCAAATTAGGAAATTACAAAATGCCCGTTAAATTAAGAGAAACATAAAAATAACAGCGTAAAAGTTTAAAGGACAGTTAAAATAACATAACAGAAACAACAGACGCCACGGATGGGCAAAACTGAAGAAGATTGAAACGGATTGAAATTAGGGTTTTTGAAAACTGTTCAGCCTAACTGTTTTTCAAAGTTGATCCCTGCTGCTTGCAACTTCAAAAATAATGTTCAGGAGGCACATTTGTTTGTCTCGGATCTCTGATTTTGTCATATTCCTGTAACTTCTTTGCTTAATTTAATTTACATAGTAATTGAGGGCGAGTAATCGGCCAAATTAAACAAAATGAACTGGATTGCCGTGACATAGCCCCTTTAAATGTCGATCGATCGTTTCCTCATAAACTCCGGTATGCCATAATGTAATATAATAATGCGATTGGTCTCTTGGTGGGAAGTAAACCAATCAGGTCAAATGTTACAATGCCAACAACATCTTTCTCGCGCGTTTTGTGTTATCGCAAATTCGTGACAATCGGAGTGAACGAGTATTTTTGTACAAATGACGTCATGTGCCGTGCGTTATGACGTCATCTATCATCCTTCAATGTTTGAGGACGTTGGGGGTTGACAGCCTGTAACCTTGTTCTACAAACCCAAACACAACGGCAAAACCCTACGCACGAGCGAAAGCTCGGGCACAAACAAACCATCAGCGACAATCCTCGTGATGATTATTTTTTAAACAATCAACAAACTACTTCACTACACCTGATGGTTAAACGCAAATTGATCAGTTTAGACAGAGAAAGGAGTTTGAACTCTTTTATTTTGCTCTCGAAAATCTAACCGTCATTTCTAAAACTAACCTAGAAACAAACCGTTTGACGCCAGTGAGGGTTTTGTCGCGAAAAAGCGTTGTAAAGTAAAGCAGTGGGAGGTTTACTAATAAGTAAGCATGTGGTGCAATAAATGAACCTCATAAACTAACTAAAACAAACCAAATTAAATTTTAAAAATATTTCTCCGTTTCTGATTGGGTCAAATCCCCCGGTTTAATTCTAACCACCTAGCGTTGAACAAATTTGGAAGCATTTGCGATATGCGATAAAATTACGTCAATAGTACTGGCCATCGCCAAAAAAAGGAGCGGCGACCGAGGAACCCTGGGGAAGGAAGTTGCGTATTGGTAAAGGTGGAGAAAATGGCAGAAAAATTTGACGCGTTTGCCAAGAAGAACCAGTCGAACATCTGCCTGAAAACATAGCAAGAACAGCAAAAATACAACACAACGAATGACAAGGGATCGACTATTTACCAAGTTAAGAGTTGAGTTGAGTTTGAGTTGAGTTTGAGTTAAGTTTGAGTTAAGTTGTAGTTACCGTTTTTACTTAAAATGTCGTTAATACTATCCACACGACATAAAATGTGCGGATTATTTATATAAAAATTATTATTTTTGAGGTGGTATTTTAGTTTTTAATACCCGATCGAGTTGGGTCAACCAAATCTGCGAGCCACGCGAGCCACGGTGCGAGTCATGCGAGCCATGCCTGTGAGCCATTTTTGAGTAATTCCGTTTTTCTTAAATTGGTCGGGGAGGTCGTCGATTATTCCACCAGCAAACATCCCTGGAGTTTTACCTGCGACTTGCCTAGCCGCCATCTTGTAAACGGAGTTACCTCGCTCCCAGGTTCCCTCTCTCTGGCGCGACGCGAAGCAGTGTTCCTCGTGATGGCTCAATTTCGGCTCAATACGGAGATCCAACTAGCCGTCAATATAGTGCAGTATTGCCGTCTCAAAACAAAAATTTTGCTATACGCGTTATCAGGTTTTTGTTTTGCAAAAAAGTTTCGAAAAACCCGACTTTTCACGCCATAAATTACTCATTGAAACATAAAAAATTCGAAAGAACATCTTTCTGAAGTTTTTCAAAGAAACATGCGTCGAACAAAATGAGTAAATAACGCAAGTTTGCCAAGTTTTTAGCGAAAACTTTTTTTCAAAATTATGATGCGTGATTAGCCCGCGCATAGCTCAGCTCGATGTAAACAAACCGTTCAAACCAACAAAAAGAGATTTAGAACTTATCGTATCGTTCACTTTTGATAGAAAGGATCGCTTCATTGAATACAGTGTTGCTTTTTTGTCTACCAAACTTGACAAAGTAATCAACATTTTAGTCCTTACTTTGAATATTTTTGAAGTTTTTTGTTTTCTACGGAGGAACCCATTAAATTGCCGCGGGAATTTTTCAACCAATCACAGACTGACTTTAAGTTGAAGTCATCATTTTTTATTCTGAGAGAATGAAACATACAGCTCCACCGCTCCGCTACTCGAAGGGGTATCCAATGACAGCTGTCACTCATTGCTATCCACGTGGAAAATCATTTAGGAAAAAAGATAACAGCGCACTTTAGTTCGAACTTACTGTGTTGGCGACAAGAATGGTAAGTAAATCGGTTAATTTTAACAGGTTTGCTCCTTAGTGAATCAAATTTACTAGAACTCTGACAGTAGGCTGACTGTTGCATGTGTTTGCCTCTTTCCTCAGTCAAGTGTTTCTTCAAAACTAGCCACTAGAGTGGCAGAGGCCGGATTTGAGGTCGCATTCGACCCACCAGCAGACGGCAAATGTTTTTATCACGCCGCTTCGTTTCAAATTGGATTTAGTGCGTCAACATTGACCTCTGTCATCTTTGAGTACCTGGATAATCATCAGTTTGATGTAAGTAGTTAATTTCTTCTGGCCATTTTTGTTCAATTTCATTCTGAAGATGCAAGAAAGGTTGCCTAGGTTTTTATAAGTCTGAAGCGATTGCTTTGATGCCGTGTTTGTCAATGAATTTATTTTTGTACATGTTCGGTGTTTTCGAGGGTAATACGTCGAGGGTCGAGGGTAACAAGTCAAGGGTTGAAAAATCTCAAAATTGAAAAAAAAAATCGTTGCATTAAGACCCAGCTGATAGCCTGCTGAATCATAGAAGCACGTGCCATCGCAAGGCGGGTTGAAGTCTATGTCTATTTGAAATCCTTTGTCCTCCACATACTTCAACAACTTAACACTACCACTTGTCTCCATTTAATACTCAGTGTCTGTAAAATTTTTTAAAAAATACTCAACATTCTTACAATTTCTAAACACTTTTTCGAAAAAAGGAGGAACCTTATTCATGAAACTCGGGATTTTTACATCTAGCTGAATAGAAAGCAATGGAATGTTGATTTTGTCCGGAAAACAAGTGTCATCGCATTCTGTCTCTTCGACTACGAAAGATAAGATTGTTATTCTTTTGTCTGACAGCTCCAGAGAAAACAGAACATAATTGCTGTAATAACATTACATATCGTTTTTAACTATACCTGAAGGAAACTTTCCAGCTTTGGATTGCTTTAGTTTTGTCGGACCGTAATAACTTTGCATACCGACAAAAACAATATCAAGCGACACCTTTAATACAAATGCAGTCACTTCATTCGCAATGCTATAAATAACTAAAAGACCCTAAAATGTCTCGCTACACAGGCTTAAAAATTCATCCTTTATCTGCTGGAAAGAAATACATAAATTCAGGACTTACGGGTTTTGTTAAATTTGAGACCGGAAGTTCGCGAACCCCGCGCCGATTTCTGTTTCAATTCGTGAATTGTAAGTAAACAACAGTTTAATTCAGTTCACTTCTACTTCATTTTTTTAGATCAAAGTTCCCAATATAGCCAGGTGTATACTGGTAGTAAACAACAGCATAGAAAACTTTAGTTCATTTCAATATCATCGAATGTGACCGGTCATCTTGACCGTCAAGGCCAACAAAATGAGGACAATTCAACGCTTCACGTTTGGGAATGTAAAATTATTAAACACTTTTTCATTCGTGAAAAAACGAACAGTCGGTCAATTTTGTGTAAAAACGATCTGGATCTTCCATTAACCACTTTTAAGTTAACAAAAATGAAAGCAACGGTAACTCAAACTTAACTCAGACTTAACTCAAACTCAACTCAAACTCAACTCAAACTCAACTCAACTCGTAACTCGGTCATTAGTATCTCTCGAATGACAAATGCTTTCTGAAGAATATTTGTTAGACTAAGCGGCCCTTCATACAGACAAATAAAGACGGTAACTTTGCATCGATCGCGGTAAGCTTGTTTTTTAAAGTATGAGGCTTGGCCTCCGCGGAGAACACTCAAGCTGGGAGATCTAAATGAATTATATGAAAGCCGAATCCGATAATTGGTAATTCTTTTCTCGAAAACTTAATAAAGCGGGGAACCTCTAGCCACAATGTTTTTATTGTTACCAGGTGATAAAGAAGGTTGTCCTTTTCGCTGATAACTGTTAGCTACCTCTCGTGTAGTACTGATAACCTTTGGTATTTTCCCACTTAAATCTTGACCATGTCAAGACGACGAATTGCAATCATAATATAAAGATCGTTAGTGATGTGAATTGTTTGTACAGTTTTATATTGTTCAACTGTTATGAAAGTTTAGCTACCTGGGGTTTTTTGTCGGCTGAGTTTTTATATTTTTCATAGCGGGTTAAAATTCCAGAATTTTTTTCATACTTTTTTTTACTTATTTTATACCCTTTGATGGACAGGAAAGGAGTATTGGAAGAGAAAAGCTGCAGAAATTAATTCACTGAAGACGCTAATCAAATAATCACGAGTCAGACATAACAACTTATTAGACCACACCCCGAGGGCGCGTGACCCTCTGAAAAGGATTATCAGTAACATCTTAACTGAGTATCTTTGGCGGCGTTTCCAGAATATTCTGCCGCAAACTGTTGTAAAGATAGTTTGTAACACGGCTTGATTTTTCTTAAGTTTATTTCTTTTTGGGAATCTTTTAACCAGCTCCTTGGCTTTAACGACAAAAATCAGAGTTTTTTACTCGCGATTTGAAATTGTAAAAGTCATACTGCAACGAAGAAAGTTCTAGTCGGATTAGAAAATCTTAGAAATGAAAGAAGTTTTATCAAGAGTCATCAGACCTAAAAAAATGTAGTTTCACCTAGCTTAACCTTGTTTATTTTCTGGCGATGTCAAATCTCAGGGAGTGAATTTCACCACAATATATGGGTGAAATTAATTTGCACATTAGATGGCGATAAAAAATGAAAAGCTCTAAGCCGTTCTTAATGCCCAAGAGTGTGAACATTCATTAGTTCAAAAAATTGTGGAATCTCTTAGCTTCTTGTGTAGTTTGACCTTTTGCGACTTCTACGTTCCGCGTTGTAAAGGAATACAGGAACTCAGCAAAACTATGATTTTCTTGAATTTGTAGTCCAATTTTTGTTTGTTTTCTTTTTAGTGAATATTTTTGTTCAGTTTCCCTGAAATTCTCAATAAAAAGCAGCTTAAGTTTTAAAAAATAGTTTGTTTTCAAAACAAAATATTATAAGCATGATAACTTTAAAAGTTTGTTTTGTAAACGATCTGGTTCTATGTGCAAAGAATTAAGCCTCCGTTTTCGTCACAAAAAACGCTTTGGCGACTCACAGTGACTTTTCTGAAAGAACGAGCTTGCCTTTCGCAAAATTTCGCCAGTGGAATCGTCAAATTCTCAACCATAAAGACCACTGAATAGAGCCAGAAGTATTCACCAAATTGCACTGATTTCATCTTTTTGCAATATCGATTTCTATAACATAATTAGTTCTTAATGATTTATTCAGATTTGAGGTGCTAAGCGAGGTGAACCGCAGCACAAAAAAGAGCAGAGGTTTGTTTAACTTAGACGGATGTTTGCCAGCTTAGGATAGAGCAAGGTCCACAACAATGGGCCATGCATGATTAGCTTAACAGAAAGAAAACACTTTAGAGTTTCGTGACAGATTGAATATGACTGATTGTTACTGATTGTTAGTCGAGATCATTGTGCCGTGAAAAATGGTTTTTCAAGAGCAGTGTGTATTCATGAATTTGACATAACTTTGGGGTTGCACAGGAATGCGAATGTAGCCAAAACGAATTTAGAACACTATAAACATTATAGAAGATGGAAAGTCTTCTTAGCGGAATGCCACGAGATCGTAACGAGAACGAAGATGAGCTAACAGAAGAAGTTATGGACAGCAGTAAGACGCTGTCTTACAGAAGTTCAAACGAAAACAAGGGAGCAAGAGTCGTGATAAATATTTCTGGACAGCGTTACGAAACATACGAGAAAACCCTGGAGACGTTTCCTAATACACTTCTAGGAAGCAAGGAGAGAAGGCAAGACTTTTACGATGCTGTAAACAAGGAGTTATTCTTTGACCGGAATCGGTTGTGTTTCGAGTCGATCCTTGCGTACTATCAGACATCTGGGGTGCTCATACGACCGCCTGGTATACCCAGGAAAGTGTTTGTTAGCGATATTCGCTTCTTTGATCTCGGAGAAGACGCTTTGATTCAAGCTGGGGAAACCTTAGAACAACACGTCGAAAAAGATAAACGGATTCTTCCGAGAAACAAAATACAGAGATTGGTATGGGAGCTGTTCGAGTATCCCGAAACATCGAATTTCGCGCGAGCAATAGCTATTTGGTCTGTAGCTGTTATAATTCTATCGATAGTTCTTTTCTGCGTGGAAACTTTGCCACAGTTTCAAGAAGAGCCAGGCAGATCTACGAATGGAACTGCAGTGGCAGGAAAGACCGGAAAGAGAACTGAAGACCCCTTCTTCCTGATAGAAACATTCTGTATAACCTGGTTTACCTTAGAGTACGTGATTCGATTCCTGTTTAGTCCCAATAAATGGAGGTTCTTCATTTCGGCTCTAAACATGATCGACCTGATATCGATCGTACCGTACTACATAACTCTCCCGATGGGAGATTCTTCGAACGTTTCATCGTTGGCTGTTCTTCGTTCTGTAAGGCTCGTGCGAGTGTTTCGGATCTTTAAACTTTCGCGCTACTCGCGAGGACTGCAAATTCTCGGGCACACGCTGAAAGCAAGTTTACGAGAGCTCGGTCTGTTGTTTTTCTTTTTATGCATGGGTGTTATTTTGTTTTCCAGTGCTGTTTATTACGCTGAGATCAGTAATGAGAATGATAATAAATTCTTAAGCATTCCTCATTCATTCTGGTGGGCCATTATCACAATGACGACTGTGGGATATGGAGACATGACACCTGAAACTTTAGGTATGTACAGAATATTCCAGTCTTGTTTACAAACCACTGCACAAAGGTGTACAGGAAACCCCCTATCATTAACTTGACTGAAGACTATATCTATTGCATTGGAAAGAACAATACGGCAAGATTATAAAAGTATTCCCAAATAACTTTGATTTCAATGTTCACAGTGGAGTAGTGGATCACATACTGAGTTAAAGGTGGTGGGTTTTCTTGTTCATTGTTTGTTTACAATACTTTGTTTAACTTTCAAGACGCGGCGTACAGTGAGAATTATCAATTAAGCTCTTTATATCCATAAATTAATTATTTTAACAATAGCTGTCTTTCTGAGTAAAATAACCTTCCGAAGTTCGCATAATCATTATCGACATTATCCTTCAACCGCGTTCAGCTCAAAACGTATCTGTTTCGTGGAAGAGATAACTAAGAAACAAATTTTGTTAACCTACAATATAAATCCTCATACGAATACGCGTCCAAATTTGGTTTTAGCAGACCTTCATAACTTAAAAATTAAAATGTACGTAATGTTTCTTAATTACAACAAAACATGGAAATTTTCGGACAGAGCGTTGCTTCAGTTGGGTCAGCGACTTGTGTAGTATCCAAAGTTTAAAATTCTTTACCAAGTTTTAAAATGAATAAATTAACGGCCAATCATAACTAAAATATTTTCGTTTTTTCAACCCAAGTGGGTTGTCCTGTCGGCTTTATTTACTACTTTACTTTAAAAAGGCGGTGATATTGAAAACAAATAAAAACACCCATTTCGCACTCGAACACTTTACTCAGTCCAAGTCGCTTTTAATGTTATGTTCTAGTCAATAAATACAAGAATATCAAAGTTATCTCTAACAATTTTCGAGGAGTTCGTCTAGTCTCAAAGAGATCCTTTTTATTGCAGTAAATCGCGGCCAGTCTGAAATCTCAAACTCTTAAGGAAAAGGTATATGTAAATGAGTTTTCTTTTCGTCTAAATTTGGCTGATATTTTCCTTTGTTTTGCCGTATTTTCTATTAACATTTTAGAATTCGGCTGACCGCAAAAGCCAATAGAGTTAACCACAACACTAAACACCCGCAATAGGAGATTGAATTATTGAATCGTGTCATTCATTCATGATGTCATTTAGTGATCCGTATGAGATTTAAACCGTTCATACTGCTTTGTCAGCCTTTGTGCATAGGGAAAGCACGGGGCACCCAAGCTTACAAGGTGAGGAAATGGCCCACGTTCAATATATTAAAATTCTAACATAAGTCCGAGGCTTTAGGGAGAAAATTGTAAATTTTCCACGACTCCACTGTCTCGCAATTCTTAGAGGAGACTAGAGCAAACAAAAAAACCAAACCAAATATAGAAATATGACCAGAAAGCCTGAGGGTCATGCCCGGGGGGGGGGGCACTTGGGTATTTTTTGGGTGGGTATGTGCCGCCCGGGACTCCAAATTGGCACCCCGTTCTAGAAAAAATTTCCCCTAAAATTGATACCCCGTTCTAGAAATGGGCCAATTTTTTATACCCCGTTCTAGAATTCGCCCTAAAACTAACACCCCGTTCTAGAAATGGGCCAATTTTTTACACTCCTTTCTAGGGTGCAACAAGAGTACAACGGTTTGCTTCTTAACGCACTGAACCGTATTTTAAAAGCAATCTGTCCTTGAATGCTTTCAAATGGCTACTTACAAAAGTGGAGAGCTTTCGTGCGTTCGAAATATTATACCCCGTTCTAGAAACCGCGTCTGAAATGGATACCCCGTTCTAAACCAGGAGCTTCAAAATCACGACCCCTTTGGGCGGCACATACCCGTATAGGTAATGTATGGGAGTACCCCCCCGGGGGGTCATGTTAGAATTTAAATAGTGGGCTATTGACTAAGCATCAAAATGAATAATGTGGGCGTATTAAAATCAATGAAATGGCGTTAAAACCCGCTGAAAGACAAAGAAGGGCTATTGAATGAAGCTGTGGAGGAGTTTCAGTCTTATTTAGACATAAATGATAGATATTTCTACAGTTTTCTTGCTAACCGATCAATAGCCAAGAAAATAGGTCTAACCGATTTGGCTGGATCAAAGACCTCCCTGGTTACTCACTGTAATGATCTCTTTATTTCGCAGGTGGCAAGCTTGTTGGATGTTTCTGTGCCATCACAGGGGTGTTGGCTATCGCCCTTCCTGTACCTGTAATCGTGTCGAACTTTGCTTACTATTATTCAAAAGAAAACGGAAGGCAAACAGGCTTGGATGATGACGAGGACGAACTCGAAGACGAAACTTTTCCGGTGAAAAATGCTGAAATAAAGAAGAACAAGAAGAAAAAAACGCTCGGTCTTAGTTGCATTGGAAAAAAATCCCAAAAGGGGGAACGGAAAGTAACACAACGCAAGAAGAAACGCAAAACTGGAAATGGACAATTTCCTGATGCGAAGTACAATGCAATCGATTCCAATCCTGGCACTGTTCGTCCAAATGGCCTGGCAAACGCCGTTAATAACAAAAGACAGGAAAAGAATGAAAATAGCCGAAGTTCGTCTCTAGTGGAAACAATTGTGTAATTGCCAATGATAACTACCAGAGTCTAGAAGTGTATTCTCGGGATCCGGGATTTGGCAAAAATACAGCGCGGGATTCGGGACAACGCAAAATGTCTTGACGGGAGACGGGATTTGACTGTTACTCGGGAGGCGAAATTCACCGAAATCTAGCTACAGAGCTACTTCCATTTAGAGCTACCTTAGTATGACGGGAATTCTCCCAAGATTTTGCTTTTAATTACGCTTTAGAATTAAAAGGTACGTGCACTAGCTAGTGCAGGAAATCGCGCCTTTGAACAAGGTCAGCATTCGATTCCATCCACCGAAACCACGTTTCCCTCTGACTTACGTTTCCATGAGATTCCTAAGGGGGAGGGGGGGGAAGTGTGGCTGACAACCTTACCCCTGTTAAAAAGTGCGTTGTCGTGGAAACAGCCGCAAGAAACTAATGAATTTATCCTTTTTGCTGTTCTATTCGCCTTTCGGTGCGGAAGACAATATTCATGACTATTATTTCCTATCCCTCCTTACCCTAGTCTGCTACACAGCCGTTTTTAGTGTCCGTTGCGTGACGACACTAAAAACGGCTGTGTAGCAGACTACCCTTACCCAAACTAAGGCAATAAGCCGATCAAACACAATTTTGAAGTTTTCTATTACTTCATGTAGTATGGAAACATATAAAAAGACCAGATCTGTCTAAGAGTTCCACTGAAACAGGGTTCCACAGAGTTTTCAAGTAACGCTAAATCAGTTGACAAATCAGTTCTTATACTTGGCTCGATTACCAGCCGCTGTTCGGGAAAATGAGCCCGCACTCATCCCCCGAAAGAGGAGAGGGAGGATCAAGACCGGACCCGGGAGACAGCGGAAATCGAGCCTATTCTTATCCCTGCACCAAAAGTCTTGGTAAAACTGTCTCTTCATCTAGCATATCTGTATAACGGTTTCACTCCTAGTAACTACAGTCGACTCCCGATAACTCGAACCCTCGCTTACTCGAACCTCGCGCTAACTCGAACCAAAATCGATTTCCCTTGGATTTCCGTCATATATTCACTGTAATTTTACCCTCGGTAACTCGAACCCTCGATAGTCGAACTCCCGCTAACTCGAACCAATTTTCGTTTCCCCTCAGGTCATTTTCTAAATAATTTTACCCTCGATAACTTGAACCATGTTTTGAGCCCTTAAAAAGTCGGGAAAAAAGCCGTCTACTGGCGTCCGAAACATTGAATTTTGGATTTCCTATTGACGTGTTGTAGGAGTATAGTTTACTAGGGAGGCTGATGTTGATTGTCACAGGCTAACGTGAAGCAGCTTTTCTTCTCAAAACAGTAAAACGCATGCTCTATTTAGGCTATGTTTTGTCACGTTACGTTATGATTTATAATCTGAAAGTATCTTTTAATTTTCACTTGACATTTCTACAATTAAATGTGATTAAAATGTTCACTGTGCAGTAAAAACTGTTTCTTATCTTACCCTCGGCTATTTTCTTCGAACTCCCGGTAACTCGAACTCCCGATAACTCGAACCTTTTTTCGATTTCCCTTGAAGGTTCGAGTTGTCGTGAGTCGACTGTAGCAGAGTGTTTATATTGTTGCTAATTAGCGTAACATGGCTAACTAAATTTAGTTGGTTATGGGTGCTCGGCATCCTACCGGGTACAGCCTTCTCTCGACTCGGTATGAAGAATTTGAGACTAACAGTTGGTCCGTGACTGCGTAGCCACGGAAATGACGCGTTCTGAAGTTTTCTTGTTAAGAGGTTTAATATGTTTGTCAATCAAGAAAAAGAAAACATGTTCTCTTGGTGGAATACAGTGTTATTTTAATACTATTTAATTGTGGTCTGTAGAATCGGTAAATTGCGGCGGTCAGTTTACACGGACCCGAACATGAATAATTCGTCTCTGTCGTCTCGAAAGGCAATTTTAGCCCTTAAATGCGTGAGGGAAAGATTTAACGACAGTTTAAAAATTTTAGAATTTACAAGGAATTTACAATTTACAAGTTTCGTTACCCAGAAAATGATGAAAAATTATTGATTTAGGTTAGGTGGGATATATTGAATAATGAGGTTGAGTACCGTAAGCTTTTTGCAGGGCTTATATCGTACCCAGATCTCCCACGGCTCACTTTTCAGTGTAAAACAGAGCGAGATCTGGGTACGAGATTAGGCTTATACAACTTCGTAAGGGGTTTTTAGAGGTCTTATAACCGTGGGTGGTGTGGGAGACTATAACCGGTTTTAAAAACGTTTCAAAGAAGCTAAATCAAAGTGCTGATCAAAATACGTTTGAATTTACCAGCATTTTTAGGCTTCAAAACATCGCCAAAATCAAATTCATTTCAATACTAGCTGGAGGGGGTTTTAAGTCCGGGGGGACTTATACCCTGGGGGCTTATAATCGGAAGTATTTTTTTGTTTACAGGTAGATAGGCCCATAACTGGGGGGAGGCTTATGAGTGGGGGGGGGATTATACAGCTATATCGAGAAACGTTGTCGGAAAAAATGTGCACACAACAATCCAGGAAGGTAAAATGGGATATGACCAGTACACTGTTCGTGACACTGAAGCTGACGAAACTACTTTTGCTGCTTTCCTTTAGCACTCGCAAACATAAGTCAATGAGCTCTCGTGCCATTCTTTCAAAATTCTTTGAAGAACAGTTAAAAAAAACACCCACAATGCCTTTCGGGGTTGTTGCGTGCATTTTCTCCGACAACCTTTCTGAAAATAACTGTACGCAGGAGTTTACGATCTAACACGAAAAATTATGAAGATCAATAGGAGGGTGTTATTCACCGAGCGCTGATAACACCGTTCGTGAGTTTTAACAAAGGAGGATAAAACCTTTCTAGGTTTTTTCTTCTCTTGGTTTTAACAGCTTTGGCCAGCCCTGCATGTCGACAAAAATTGATAATTTGTGGTTATGGAATCATGGACGCCAGTGACTGATGTCAAACATCTTCCAAATTTGGTCAGTCCCCACATCAGCCCTGCACCGTTTGCAAGCTTATCTGTGATTGGTTGGCGTGCTATATTTCCATTGGTTTAGGTGGTCGACCAATCAAAGGCAGTGGAATAAGGCAGTGGATGTCATGGTTCCAAAATCTCGCTCAGCTTGGTGAGGCTGCTAAACGCCACTTCTACATTTCCCACAATGCACCTTATTTGCCCCCCCAAAATTTTGCACAAGCATTGTTTTCAAATTCTCTTGGGACGGCTGTGATGCCCAGGAGACATTTATGTGGTCATCCGATCCACGCAAATGTCTAGCCGCTTGCAGGACAAAGGCAGTACCTTCATTTCTCAGTTATTTTAAGACCCGTTTTCAGACCTGGTGGTGGTCATGTCACAAAACGCAACATTCATGTTTACATTGACATGCCAACAAAAGGATTCCTTTCTTTCTTATTCATTTATAATTGAAACGACAAATACATTCATACACTACCGTAGTTGCCTTGTAAACCATGCCCGATTCCAGACCAAAATTGGCAAAATTCATACCCGTTTTCAGCGTTTTTTCAGACCAAAATGGCACCAAAACCATATCCTATTGGGGGGAAGGGCACATACTTATATGGGAGTACCCCCCTCCGGGAGTATTGGTCCGGTCCCGGCTCAACATCGTTCCAGTCTACACTTTTGGTGCGAGATCCCGCTGGGAAAAAATGAAAGGTTTGTGTGCCTCCGTTCAGACATGATACTACATGACGTTTACATGACCCAATTAGTGAATACTGAGCCAGCAATCGCTGCAGCCGCACGAGCCACGTTTTGCCAGAAGACAGTGACGAAAACAAATCACAGATTTTGTCATAATTTTCAGACAATTACTTTCACCATGAACGGTGTCAAGAAAGAAAAAAACGATAGGAAAACGTTTAAAATGTCGGCTTACCTTTTAGCGCTCCGTCCTTGGTCTTTTTCGGCTTCTTGTATCCCAGTGGTTCTAGGAGCTGTGTTGTGTTGGAAAACGACGGGCCATTTTAACCTTATCTTGCTTGTGCTATCAATGATCGCAGTTCTCGGCGTTCATGCGGCCGGAAATTTAGTCAACACTTATTATGATTACATGAAAGGAATTGACAGCAAAGTATCGGACGATCGAACTCTGGTTGACCATCTTTTAACGCCGAAAGAAGTTGTCAAGTTAGGCGTGGTGTCGTACGGATTTGCTAGTCTTGCACTGGTATTCTTGGTGGGATTATCGCCGGCAAAAATGGAACATTTATCGTTCATGTTCTTCGGAGGACTCTCTGGCTCCTTTCTATACACAGGCGGTGTTGGATTGAAATATTATGGAGTTGGTGACATTGTAATTGTTATAACTTTCGGCCCTCTTGCAGTATTATTTTCTTATCTGAGTCAGTGCGGTAACGTGCCTTTGTTTCCGCTGTTTTACGCCATTCCTGTGGCATTGAGCACAGAAGCGATTCTGCATAGTAATAATACAAGAGATATGGAAGCAGATGAAAGGGCAGGAGTAGTTACTTTAGCTATCATCCTTGGCCGTCAGCTGTCTTATGCATTGTACTGTTTATTGCTTCTCACACCTTATGTAATATGTACAGTACTCTCTGTTAACCTATCCGTACGTTTCCTTATTCCACTGATAACACTGAAAATGGCTTTTAAGTTGGAGAGAAACTTCAGGGAAGGAAAATTGTTAACATTACCCAAACAGACAGCAAAACTTAATTTATTTTTTGGTTTGTTGTACACTTTTAGCTGCGCAATCACTCCAAGTTTACCAAAGTTGTGATGGGATGTATGTTACTGAGCGTGGATCATCTCTGAGCCTCTCTGTGGACCCCTGCAGGCGTCATTTTCGTTGCGACAAATATAAATTGTTGGTTTTTCAACTAAATCATTTGCTGTCAAGAATTGTTTTGTGTGGTAACACTGCTTGCAAGCTCAGGCAACCATAACAACAACAAAGGAATTGAGAAATTAAAATTCTGAACATGCAGCTCAATTTTGGACAGATTCGTTTGCCATCATTGAGCAACGAACATTGTCACACTTGATTGGAGTAGCAATGCGATTGTGGCTTCAATCTTTAAAATCGTTTTTTTTCTTCAATTTCCTCTTTCCTACAACAATTGGCTCTGTTGAACCTTTGTTTACAGGAATTTTATTGACACCTGTCTGTCACAGACAGTTTCAGTACTCCCAAATACCTGTGTATATATTTTAAACTTTTAAAACTTTGGGTACCATGGCAACCCGGGGCTACTCCACATTTCAAGTGACGGGGATGATCAAATGGGGGGAAATTTAATACCCCAAAAAATTCCCAGGGCTTCCAGCAAAACCCAAAAGAGTCCATAGACCAAGCCACCCAAAAGATACTTGCTAAATTGTCCTACCCAAAAAAATCCCGGAAGAAAAAGTTTCAAACCCAATACATAATGAGTATTTTTCTTCTTTAGCAAATTTTTTTTATTCTTTGCAAATGCTTGTCCCCCTCTAAAAAATGACCTTTTGCTCTATGACTATTTTAGTTGCATATTTAACTGTGATGATCTTCTCTGCATTCATTTCTTCATCCCGCAGTTCAGATATATGAAATTCATATACTCATCCAAGGTCCTTGTATTCATCATTTCATCTTCATCTTTTCTGGGTCTATTATGAACCAATAACTGATCGGCTGCCAGTTGGTTTGCTAGCTAAATTGGTTAGAGCACTACACCAGTATGGCAGGGGTCAGGGTTTGAATCCCAGCTAGCCTAATTTTTTTGAAGCCTTTCTTTTTGCAGCTACACAAGTTGCATATTTAACTGTGATGATCTTCGCTACATTAATTCTTCGTGCTGCTGTTCAAAAATATGAAATTCATGTGTTCATTGTTTCATATACATGCTGATATTATGTAACATTGCAATTGAGATGTTGAAGTTCACTGAAGCTGATAGAGTTGGGAAAGGGAAATGTTTTTGGTGATCTTGAAGTTAGAAAAAATGATGGGGGGGGGGGGGTTAAAAAATACAGTTTATTGACAGAGTACAGGAGGTCATTTTTGGTTCAAATTATTGAAATGTGTGAGAAACCAAAGATTCAATAAAGAGGTTGAAGAGTAAAATAGTAGGCCATTGTCACTATTTGTTTTTTTCATTGTACATAAAACACACCTACATACAATATCCTGCTATTCCTCCTTTCCAATGCATAAAAAAACTCTAATTAAGTTTGTACCCCCCACTCCCCTTCCAAAGATGCGTGTATTGCTTCCAGACTTGAGCTGTAACCTGCAGTCTTAAGTGCAAAGTTGTGTAAAAGTTCTTACGAAGAAGAAGGCTGTGATTCTTGCCAGCAACTGGCTACTTTTCTCAACCCTGGTAACTGTTGTCAGTTTTGTTATTTGGGGTATTTTTTGGTGTTTTTGGTATCCATTGTCACTTAGTTTGTGTTGCGGTTTGGCTATTGTTTGACGTCTTTCAATCTTATGTATTGCATCATTTGGTGATCACACAGGATCTGTAACATTCTCCTCCCTAGAGCTTGCCTTGTCTGAGCAATACAGTCTCCATTCAGCAAAAATATTTTCAAATAGCTACATTGTAATTCCAATTTAATACGGTCAAAGTTCTCCTTGCGACCACTTCTCATAAGCGACAAGCTCTAGTTACAGTAACTTTCATGAAAACCGTTTGAACTGTGACTTAAACTTTGTAATGAAAAGCTCTCGTAAGCAAACAACTCCCATAAGCGACCGCAACCACTTTTAGGATTACCCAATAGCCTGTGATCAAGCTCTCCGGGGTGCTCTGGCAGTGAGTCAAAGGAAGGAGAGCTTGCAACTACGTCTCTAGAATTTGAATAATATCCACCTCCAATTCCTCTGTGGCTCAGTGTCGACTGAGCTGTCAGATTTCCACCTATGCAAAGGGGAAAGGAGCGCGAATGTAAACAAGCATTGAAAAACACATGCCAAGGGTAATGGTGTCATTACTAATGTCATCTCCACCAATCAGCATTTCGCCTCAACTTTTTTGATGTGGATATTCAAATTTCAGAGATGTAGTTGGGAGCTTTCCTTCCTTTTCCTGCCCTGCCGCCAGGGCACCCTGGAGAGCTTGGTCGCAAGCCAATTACCTGACTGCACTTTTCCTTTCTTTTCAGCTCTCGTAAGCAGTCAGCTCAGAGTCTTTTTCATACAAATCAACACCCGATAAAACACTAGCTGTGAGTTAATTGAATGTCTCCAAAGTCTTGTGATATGTACTGCTATTTAGATTTGGGGTTATTTTGGTCCAAAAAATTGGACTTAATGTTTAACCGTGTCCTTATCAGATATTTAGACACTAGTTAAAACATTGTACCAGAATAATTTAAACAATATTGCATTCTTTTTTACATTTTTCAAGGGCTGTAGATGTAATTAGTTATCTGTAATAACACCAAAGAAAATTTTTTATGAGAGCCCTAGAAAATATGTGTCAAATTTCTCAAAATGAGATCTTACACATCAAATTTTCAGAATTTTACCTGTGTTTTCACAAATCTTGTGAAATTTGACTTTTCTTTTCTCAGGCTCCCTTGAGAAATAGTCTTTGTTGTTATAACTAATTATATCGTAAGAGCCGTTTAAAAGTGTAAAAAATAATGCAATGTTTTTTTAATTATTCTGGTACAAGGTTTTTTCCCACTGAAAATTGAAATTACTCAATTTCCTGATGGATGCTGTCTTAACTTTTTTAAAATTATTAATGAGTTTTTGAAGCTCTCAAAAGCGACCACCCTCTATTGGTTTACCATGCAAGGTGATCGCTTACGTTTTTTCTTCCACTGTATCTTATTTACTCAGTTCAATTACACAGATAAGACAGCTAATCAAAATAATAAAATTAAAAATCAAAAGAAAAAGCAAATATATAAAAGTGATATCTGCATAATAATAAGGACAGTTTATACAGAACACGAGGATTCCTCGGCCGCCGGAGAATAATCAATGAAATATATATAAAAAACTATACGAGAAAATTCTAATCCTAATTAAATTTCAATGAAGGGATTGCTATGAGCTTATTAGATAGAATATTAAATCACCTGTGCTAACAATGGTATATAAAAAAAAGCTATAGAAATCTTTCCTTATTGAAATTAAATTTAACACTATAAAATTCATTAACTTTTTTACCAAACAAAGATAACTGATCAGTATTCTTATGACTACAGGCAGGCCATTCCATAAATCTACAATGCGATTAAAAAATGAAAATTTAAAAACATCTGTTCTAAAGCAACCCGTAGAAAGTACTGCTTCTGAGTTTCTCATGTTATACCTAGTGGACTTGAAACTAGCATATGACTGAACGTCAAAGTCAATATGTCCATAAAGACGTGAAAACAAATCATAAATCTATAACTTCCCTTTTAAACTCGAGAGGCAAGAGACCTAATTTGACTAAACGTTCAGGATAAGTTATTGAAAAGTCACACCTCAAAATAAATTTGGTTGCACGCCTTTGAACACGCTCTATGGCCATGATTTTTCTTTTAGTGTAATGTGACCAGACTCGTGAAGCGTACTCTAATTGTGTAGGATTTACAAAGAGTCAACAAAGTCATTCATTTGTGCACGTTCTATAAATAAGGCCAAGCATTTTATTTGCTTTACAGATGATAAGGTCAATATATGCAATAGCCCGGGGGGTGGGGAGGGGGCGTACTTCCTTATAAGAGGCTAATGGGGATGTGCCGCTGGATGGGGTCGCATTTATAGGGTCGCATTTTCAATAGAGTCACTAGAAAGGGGTCGCACATTTTCGGATTTTTTGGGATAAGACAGTTCTTCATATTTACGGTTAGCAAACGTACCAGAATGTTTGTACTGTGACGAAAATATAGTAACGCACAGGAAAAAATAACGGATTCCCATTTTTGGATATTTTAGGGTATTTAAAGAATACGCATAAAAATCCCAAATTTGGCAAAGTGAGACAAGTCCCAATCAGGGAATTCCCAACCAAGTTCCCTGATTGGCACTTGTCTCACTCTTCCAAATTTGGGATTTTTGTGGGTATTCTTTAAATACCCTAAAATATCCAAAAATGGGAATCTGTTATTTTTTCCTGTGACGTGTTCTTCTTTCAATCTAAAAAATGGGTCAGCTCATAAAAATAGAAAGTGACTAAGTTGGGATCGCGAAAATTACATATTTGCCCAAAAGTGACTAAGATGGGGTCTACAATAATATTGGCCACAGAATAGACTATAATCGGGTAGAGGCCAGCGGCACAATTCCCCCAAATTCCTCCTGCAAGTATCCTCCTCGGGGTCAATAGATCTCAATATGATCATTCCATGATAGTATTGAGGAAATGTGAACATCAAGATCTTTTTCCGTTGTTACATCTGAAATTCGCGATCCATTCAGATTGTAGGATATTCTTTCTCTTTGTTATAACAAGGTGCTCATAAAGTGATCAGAACTCCAGCTACTTAAACTTGATAGATCACTCTGTAATTGCCTTTCATATCATCTGCATATAACTGAACAGTAGTACTAGCAATAGTACTAGCATGCTTGCTTAGTGTGTTGTCATGAAATCATCACGAGACAAAAATAATAAATCGTGAGCCAAAAACATCCCCCACATTTTTTTGTGCTCCCTTTGTCATGGCTGGTTAGCCTGTGCACAGGAGGGCGTGGAGGAGTGGGGCGAAAATTACAAATAAAATAAAATTTTTGTCTTCATTAGACAAATAGAATTCAGAGATATTAAACTTATTGAGCACAATGAAAAACAAAACATATCTAGTACTCTCGCCGTAACTTGACAGTGCAGTGAATAGTTGCTGCGTGGGTCGCCACATCGAAATCAGCCAACCAATCACATTTCTTTAGTTGACATGTCGAAAGAGATCTGGAAGCGAGATAACCTGATAAAAAATCAGTTTTGTCGCGCTCGGAGTAGAGACAGGAAGTCTTAAGCTGTACGTGCACAAAACAGAGAAAAAGTCCGCTGCATAGAAACTTTTGAGCTTTATTTTCCTTTGCAGTGCATGCAAGGTATGTTAATTCCTTTTAAGACAGATTTTGGGTGAATTTACTTACCTTTGTAGCGTTTAGTTTGAGCGATTTTGTGTCCTTGCTTCAACTGGCATATTTGACTTCCGCAGTCGGAAAAACGTGGTCGAAATTGTGTGTGATAGCTTCCTTATATCAAACTGTTATATGGACTTATGTTTTTTTTTATTTTTAGGTAGGTTTCAAAAGATGGCGACTTTGCTGAATGTTGAAAGTAGCCTTCTGGAGAAAATACAGGTAGGAATGTTTGTGAACACGATAAAACGCGTCACAGCTAGCGAAACTGAGCTTATATTCAACTTCCTTTCGATTCGGCACAGTACAGATTCTCGCTCAACCAAAGGGTGTGTATTCAATAGCTTGAGTCCCAAACTATGTAAAGATTTATTATGTTTTCGATAACAGGGTGTTTCTGTTTCTCTCGTAGATTTTTAACTGCCTCACAACGTTCACGCAGCTGAGACAGAAGGGAATGTCGAATCAATGGGGTTTGCTTCATGCAAATCAGCCTATAGTACCCCAAGCGACTCCTGTACCGGGATTTGAACGATTAATTCTGCCTTCACAGAACGTAGATCAGGATATACCTGCATCTACGAAGCAAGGTAAAGCGGTCAAATATATCTCGTGATTCTCTGCTTTGCGAAAATGAAAGGCATTGGTTTCGGCACGCCCGCGCGAGGCAAAGTCCAATGCGGAAAAATTCCAACCCCTCCGTTACCATAGCGGCATTTCCGTTACGTCATTGATGAAGCACAAAGTATTGTGATTTGACATATAGAGTAACAAAGCCCTTCTAGGGTCATGGGTGGAAAATCATCTCACTCAAGTCGCAAAATAATAGAAACGGTAAGATTGAAGGACTACTTTGAGGTTGAGATAATGGGAAAGCCTTTAGGATCTTTCGATTTGATGAAAGGAAAGGTAGGTGGGTGGTGAAACAAGATTTTCATGGTAATTTTTCGGGGCGGTGTTACGTGGCATTTTTCCCTTTTTCTCCGGTTAACTTTGGTTAGTAATGCTGGAGCACTGCCAATATCCTTGTTCGGCGCCTCCAATGAACTCGACAAATTACCAAAGCATGTTTTGAATTTCTTTTCATCTTGATTGACAAATCAACAATGACTTTTTTAACCGGCCAATCATGGTGTGTATGTTTTGAGTATATCACAGTTTTTTTGGTTACTCAAATCCTGGTACTCAAGTGGGGGCCCAGAACGATGAGTTGGGCGCTATTTCGCAGGTGAACTTAACCAGAGTTTACAGTTGACTCCCGATAACTTTAACCCTCGCTAACTCAAACCTCACGCTAACTCAAGCCAAAATCGATTTCCCCTGGATTTCCGTCATACATTTACTGTAATTTTACCCTCGGCAACTCGAACATCCCACTAACTCGAAGTAGTTTTTGTTTCCTCTCAGATCATTTCTATATAATTTTACCCTCAATAACTTGAACAATGTTTTGAGCCCTTAAAAGTCGTGAAAAAAACAATCTACTGGCTTCCCAAACATTGAATTTTGAATTTTCCATTGACGTGTTTTAGGCATTTTGTTTACTATTTGAGGCTGATGTTGTTTGCCGCAAATCTAGTGTGAAACGCAGTTTACTTCTCCAAATGGTAAATGCATGCTCCATTCAGGCAGTTTTTTTTTTTTTGTTACGTTACGTTCTGATTTATAATCTGGAAGTATCTTTTAGCTTTCACTTGACATTTCTACAATTAATTGTGATGAAAATGTTCACTATGCGGTAAAAACTGGTTTTTTCCTTACTCCCGGCTATTTTCTTTGAGTCCCCAATAACTCGAACTCCTGATAACTCAAACCTTTTTTGATTTCCCTTGAAGGTTTGAGTTATCGGGAGACGACTGTAGTTTCGTCTGTTGGAAGCGTGGGGTACTGGTTGTTAACTGTTTACCAAAATTTTGTGGAAAATCCAGTCGGAAAGTAATTGTAACACGATTTTTTCGCCCGTTCCTGTGCAAAATTTCTGGGAGCAACGAAACATCTGAAAAGCTAGTCATGTTTTTTCCAGGCAGAATGTTTCAAGTGCAAATTCATGTACGATTAGTTAAAAACCATATTTGATACCAGTTTCAGGCTTTTGCGGTTGTTTTTCGGTAATTTGAACTGATCTGTAAAAATAGTAAAGGCGATTCCGGGAGAAAATTTAGCAGTCCTGAATTTTGCGTGCCATTTGCCCAAACTGTGGACTGACAGGTTGTCCAATGTAAATGGAAAAACAAGATATTCATGTTGGGATATCAAATGGTTCATGCCATTCCGTTTGGGAAGCTTTAGAAAATATGGGCTTTAATTTGAGGCAATTCATTATTTTTCTACTCTTTTACGGCTGTTCCGCTAATTTTGACCTGATTTGTTACGAGTCATTCTCTCACGAAGTCAAATTTTATAGTTTTGTGGTTTATGCAAAAGATTTCCACCTGGCTGGTTTGTGTAAATGGTAAACATCCCGGCAGTCCTGTCATAAGTAGGTGAAATATGATCATAGGGTGAGCGTAGTCCTTAACAGGAGTGTTGTTGATAACAACCTGCTTGGTGGTCATCTTCAGAGTCAAAGGGAGTTGTATCTTGTATTAAACTCTGGTTAACTTTGATTGAGCTATGAAGTTGTGATGTTATTGGTCGTCTGTCACTTAAGCCATGGTGAACAGTCATATTCATGTGGATGATAATATTCCGCCCACTTACAAGATTTTATTGTTTTATTTAGCAGCTCCTGAGTTAATGCAAGAAAAGTCCTTCTTTGATGATTTTGGTGATGTCAATGATATTTTTGATGGCCCAACAGAAAGCTCTGAATTCAATTTTAACCCAGAGAAAGGTTTGTGTTTTAATATTTTTTGATATTCCTTAATCCATCGTAATTAGTTTTTCTATGATTTGCTGAGATAAATTTTATAATTTGCAGACATTGACCAAGTTCCAGACCGTACAGATTTTGATGTTTTTTTGGATGAAGTTCTTGGTATACAAGATTTATATGGATCCAGCAGAAGCCCTTATGAGTTTTGGCAAAGCCAGCCTAACTATCTACTTTATGGTCAACCCAATGGCTGTATTGATAGTCAGACCAACAACCCAATTAACAGCCATGATTCATTCTATAACCCATCAACCACTGTTCCAGTTCAGGATGAACCAAGTGACCCACTCCAAAGTCAGCATGATCCACCTAACAGTCTGTTCCACAGCCAGCCCAACAGTCCTTACCAGAGCCAAACAGACAGTCCTTCTTACAGCCAGCCTAACAGTCCAATGGATAATCTCAGTAGTCCATCACATGTCAATCCAGCCCAGAGTCTGTTCCCGAGCCAGTCAAGCAGTCCATATCAAAGCCAATCCAACAGCTCCCCCCTCAGCCAGCCTAACAGTCCAATGGATAATCTTAATAGTCCATCACATGTCAATCCAGCCCAGAGTCTGTTCCAGAGCCAGTCAAGCAGTCCATATCAAAGCCAAACCGACAGCTCCCCCCTCAGCCAGCCTAACAGTCCAATGGATAATCTTAATAGTCCATCACATGCTCCTACCAAGAGTCTGTTCCAGAGCCAGTCCACTGAGTCCAGCGACCCATATCAAAGCCAAACCAACAGCCCTCCGCTCAGCCAGCCTAACAGCCCAGTCGATAGTCATCTTAATAGTCCATCTCATTCCCCAGCCCAGAGTCTGTTCCAGAGCCAGTCCAGTCCACTTTACAGTCCACCCTCTAGTCCAGTGGATAGTCATCTCAGTAACCCTTCAGTCAGTCCACCCCACAGCCCAGGATCTCTATCAGCAAGTGAGACTAGTTCAAATATGTACAGCACTGATGAGGGAATTGGAAGCCAGAGTGACATGAGTGAATGTGATGATGGTGAGTAACACACTGTTGCTATCCCACTGCTTCCTGTCTATAAAACCACAGAGTCGCCAATATAGCAGATGAGATTTGGATATCCTTAGGGTAGCCTTTTATTCAAAAAAAAATAAGAAAACCTTGCCCTCATGTAACAGACCCTCTCACAGTTTTCTTCAACTTTTGACTGGAAGTAGGTAATGAAAATCTATCATTATCACTGGAAAGAATGCCTAAAATCAGTGAAGTTATCAAGTTTAAGAAAGTTTTGTGGAAAACTAACCAAGAAAAGCTCCAAGTCGCGAAATTTTACTGATGCTTTATGGAGGGGAGCAACTTTGTGTCCCTCACCACAAAAATGTCTGAAATTTTGTGACTTTATTTGCCTGCTTTCAACATGTTTCCTGAATATATGAAAAACTTAAGAGAAAACATGGAGCTACACATGTCGTTACTTAGACATTGCATGCAATAATTATCTTCCATAAAGTGGATGTGCCTAGACCTCTTCTTGGAAAAGGCCCCCTTTGGTTCGATTCTTGTAAACAACCACCTCCTGTAAGCGACCACTCAGTCTTTGCATTTTGGGTGGTTGTTGCGGGAGGTTGGACTGTATCCTTGCATACCTACCATAATTTTGTGTTTATTTGTTTGTTTTTGGAATGTCAGGTTTTTATTAGGTGTCAATGTCTTCTCAGATCTTTTATTTACAGTGTCTAATAAGTTGTTATTGTTGCATTTTTTTTTTTAGATGTGTTAGAGTTGAGCATGAGCCCTGAAGTGTCATCACCGATACCTGAACCAACAAACCATGAGCTGTTGTCTTTTGTCAAACAAGGTAACTTTGTTTATTTTATAGTTTTAGTTGGACTTATTTGGTAAGTCTAATCTTCAGACCGTCCAACCTGTATTGGGTGGACCTACATTTCGTGGTCACCCTCTATTAACCCATTCGCTCCTGGAGATTTTGCCAAAAAACGTATTTTGAAGGTACTCAAGTGGTTTTCTGGTCACTGTCCTGCTATAAAGAGCTAAAACTTACCACAAACCGGTTTACAGGTCGTACACTTCACAGTCTTCTGATCCAGATGCAAAACATCAGCTTGCGAAGTTCGGGCATGCGCAGAAAGCAAAATTTTGAGATAGTTTTTAGGTTTAAAAGTGACACAGTAGTCTTGACTTTAACTTTTCGCTTTCTCTCCTCCCCTCTTTTTTCGCTTTTCTTGCCTCATTTTTTTTTCTCTTGCTGGGCATTTAGTAGGTTTCATTTTGGTGGGAATAGTTTTTAGGAAAACTTTCAGGATCTTAGGATTAGGTGAAAGGAAAGGTAGGTGAGCAATGGAACAAGATTTTCATGGAGATTTTCAGGTCAATGTTACATGGTTTTTTGCCTCTTTCTCCGGTGTCCTTGACTGAATTGTGCTCATTCTGGTATGGTTTGAAAGATCTCTTCACTCTGCACAAGTTAGCGGACAAAATTGTCCTTGACCGTTAAAACTGATGACGTCACAAAGGGTAGAAAGAACGTGGATCCGCACGGGCGGTTCAGGGGCGAATGGGTTAAGCAGTCACTTTCTTAAGTCCTAGAAGTACATTCCCTGAATTACTTAAAACTGACCATTATCAAGTGTCACAAGTGTCACCTCTACTAAATGTCACTGTTACCTTTTCTTTAGTCTGCATAAGTTTTTTTTATTGTCTTCACCTCTGTTAAATAGTAAGATTTGTCAAGATGTAAGTTACTAGTGCAATAGATACACTATGCATGGCATTCAGTGGTCTTAACTTCCTTCCTTTTTTCACAGGAAGAGCTAAAAAAACTTTAAGGTCAACTTGTCACATCATTAATATTTTGCTCGTTACCATCTTCATTTTCTTGATAAGCTCGTAGGTTTGTCAAACCTGTATTAATTGGATAGTTCCTGTATTAAGTGGATAGTTGGAAATCCCCCAAGGGCAGGGCTGCAAATAACGGTTGGTCATCGGACATTATCTGAACAAAACTTGCTAGTGTCTAGTGAAATACCACCTGTGTTTGGACATGACATCGGGAGAAATTTTTTAATAGTAAATCATTTTATGGTAAGGAAGAATAAAAATCTACCTTGAGTAAATTGTACTTTGTTTTAGGAGAATCTCAGTCACAAAACAACATTGACTTGTGTAATTGAGTTTTCTTTTACATTAGCATATCATTTCCTTTGTTTTACCCAACATAATTTTCATAAAGTTTTTTTTTGGTGATATGTGATCACAATTTTGTTTTACGACCAATATATTGTCTTAGTAGGACATAAATGTCCTTTGAAGACGAAAAAAAATATTATTTGCAGCCCTGAAAAGTGACCCCTAATGCGGGTTTGACTCTAAATACTGGTAAGTTTTGAAAAAAAGATAAACAGGGAGGAAATTGGCTTTTGCAAGTTGAAAAAATATTGATTTCTTAACCACAACTTTCAACTACATTGTAACAGTCATTGTGAAGCAACTAAAGCTCTGTTGATATTGTTTAAATAAGAAAAGTAATAAATGTTTTTATTGAGATCAGTTTCCATGGGGGTAGAAATCTCAGCCATGCTCTAAGAAACAATTTGGCAAAATTGAAAAAAACCAAACATGATTGTGATTATGCTACACGCAACATTTTTCAAGTATTGTTCATTTTCTATCAGATCCAGACCTTTTGTCAGCAAAGCCTGGAAGAAGAAAGCGTGGACCCAGGCCCCAAGTCAAATATCGAGGTATGTAAATAAGAGGCCACTAAGGCTCGTTTTTTTTTTTTTGGCTTTGTGGTAAAATATTTTGTTACATTATTTTTACACTGTAAAAATTCAAAACCATTCCCTCCAACTCCATTGTAACTAAGTGGCCAGGAAGAATAGGTCCATTGACTGTTAGGTAGGTGGAATATGATTGTCCAGCTTGGAGAGTATAGTCCCGAATAGGACTGCTTTTGACTGACTGACATTTTGACAACCCAGTGATTTTGTTACTTCTGCGTCCTGCATTCCTGTTGCATAAAAATCTCCAAAGACACAAAATAATTCATGGCATGGGTCCTGTAGGAGGCAAAGATCGATCGATCTGAACAGGTCTATTTGTTGCAATATTATTATGGCTTTTGTTTAACGATTCATATTTTTTTAGCCTTTGTTGTGCTTTAAAATAGAAGGATCTTCGGTACTTGAACCACCTTGGTTTTACTTTGGACCTGTTTTTTCAGAAAGGAGTAATGGTGATTGTAATGGAAAAGCTTGACTGTTTTCAGTGTTTCATACAGTCTTGAAAAGTCCTTGAATTTTTTTCAACGTTGAATGTGGTGGTCTGGAAAGTGTTTTGTAATGCTTTTTGGTTGTCCAAGACACTAATGAATCATAGCTGAGAGGAGTTAAAGGTGATATACACAAAGCATTTTTGTTTCATGCAAGAATTGCATGAAACTATCAATTTTAGAAAAGCAGTGAGCTGAACAATGTAGAGACGTTGGTGGAGAAAACAGGTCAAGCCTTAAAGGGAACCTCCACTTCAACAAAAAGATAACTTTAAATCACAGGAAATAACTGTTACAGTCAAGTCAATCTAAAATATTTTTGGTTTGGAGAAAACTCTTAGACAGGTCGCCATCTTGAATAATTGTGACGTGTAATGGTTGCCCTATTGTTATTAAACAAAAGCTCTCTTTGTGTCAGAACTAAAGTCCTGACATTTGAAAGGTTTGATTTAAAACCAAAGAACAAATTTGTTTATCAACATAATTTTATTCGATTTAAACTTATTCTGTAGTAAGAGTGGAGGTTCCCTTTAAAGTCCTGTGAAAGTCCTGTTAGCATGGACTGGGAAGATGTATTTTTGTACATTCTGTGAAATTACATTTCTAGTACAGCTGTACATTGTATGTGGTCCTTGAAAATCTAGTGTGGTTCTTAACCCAGTGCCTACCAAGGACGTATATATACGTCCTCTGTGAGGTCACTCGGCCACCGAGGACATATATGTATGTCCTCAGACAAGTTAAATTGTATTAATTTTGGCTCTGGTAGGCGAGGGGTTAAAACGTCCTTGAAAAGTCCGTAAAAAATGGTTCCAATTTTTTGTATGAACCATGTAATGCTATTCTTGTCTTGTTGTAGGTGATGGCCCCATGCAGCTGTGGCAGTTCCTTTTGGAGCTGCTTATTGCACCAGAATACTCCAAGCTGGTCAAATGGACCTTAGATGAGGACTACGAGTTCAAGATTCTAAAGCCCTCACAGGTGGCTCGGATGTGGGGAGATAAGAAGAACAAGCCAACTATGAACTACGAGAAGCTCAGCCGTGGTCTGCGCTACTATTATGGCAAGTCAGTCATTGAGAAAGTGCATGGCAAGCGATATGTGTACCAGTTTAAGTGTGACATTCCCAAGATTCTGGGTTATGATCCTATGGCATCTGTGAAGGGAGAAGAGTCTGTTGAAGACTCGGTCTGTGGTGAGCCAATCATGTCACCCGCGGCGGAAGATTTGCTTGTTACCCCTTCTGCTGAAGGTGGTTTACTTGCATTTCTGTAGTTTTTTTTTGTTGATACCCAAAAGTTGTGTGTTACTTTCAAAGTAATTGAAAGTAACGTTCTTTGTAGCTTGTATCAAGCAGTCAAAGGCAGTTAGCCACTTATAAATCGTATCGATTCAGTCTGTACTGGAAATTTTGATGAGCTAATTGAGAAGATTGAAGGGGTGTGTGGAACAGAGCTTTAAGAAACTCTTCTTGTCATGTGACATTTGGCCTGATTTCACAAGTAAAATACTGCAGAATCTTGGCAGTTTTTTCTGAAGTTGCTTATAGCTCTTTTTCATGCACCTCATCTATTGTGTAATGAGCATTTTATAAACAAATGATCTATGATTATTTTGATTGTTTACAGTTCAATTAGTTTTCCATGATTTCTTCTTTATGCATACTATGTATGGACTGCTTATAACAATACCCAGTCAAAAATATTGGCATAATAAACAAGTGAGTAAATGAATAAGTAAATATAAAAGTATTCCAAGCTTTTCCTTTTGATTTTGCAGTAGTCTTGGTGATTACATGTAAATGTAGGACATTTCACATTAATTTTTGTTAAGGTTTTCAACAGTATATTATTTTGATTCCTTTTTTTGGTTAACATGTAAGAAATTAGTCACCATATTGGTGACCAATGAAAAGCGCTAATACACTAGTGGGAAAGTGTACACAAAGATGAGAAATGGAGATAATTATTTCCTCTTCGTCCCTACTGGAATGAAAAGTTAAAAGAAAGTGAAAGCAAACAAAATCAACTGTAAAGCTGTGAGGTTAGGGATGGTCTGAGAATGGTGACTGATATCATTATGTCATTGTTAGCTTAGAATCTTCATCATATTGAGGCAGTAGAAGTAATTTTTGGTAAAAAGTAAACATTTTATGACCAAAATAGTTTGTTAGTGTTATGATAATACTTTTGTAGTAAGTTTTTATAAGATTTGTTGTTTTCAATAAGATTGGTCTCGTTGTTTGTAAGAACTTGAAGCTAACAAGCACTGTAATTTCTATTATTGATTATTATATGATTTATCTTTAAGTTTTTTTTGGTAAGCGGATGCCATATGTGTACTTACTGCATCCTTTTTTGTCATATTATCCAAAAACAAATGGTTCTTCTTTTTCTGCCAAGTAGCCCTCTGGAACCAATGAGTACATCAATAAACTATATCATCTTAGTATCCTGAGTATCCCAGTTGTCGATAGCCATGCAGATCAAGTAGTGAACAAAAGGCAGTAGAAAAGGTCAGGCTAACATTATGCCAAACCTTCTATTAAAAGGATATAACAGTATCTTGCTATAAATAACATGTAAGCATTAAGTAATATAACAAAATTGTAAGGTTGAACAAATAAAGTATGGTGTGTTTCAAATTGAGGCTGTCAACTTTCTTAGTAACGTTGTGAATCAATTGAACTTGTGACTGCAGAGAAGAACATCACCATCAAATATGCAACTTAAGCAGTTGTGAAGAGAAAGCCTGTAAACATTCTGGCTTGCCGGGATTGAAACCCTGACACCTGCGATAACTGTGCAGCCCTCTAGCCAACTGAGCAAGCAAACCAGTTTGGAGTTGGCCCTAGTTGTTCAAACCCTGGATAGTGCTATCCACCGGATAAATCACTATCCAGTAGATAAGTGTTAGGAAAACCAATTGTGTTAAGCAGGAGATAGTGATTTATCCAGTTAATAGCGTTATCCACCTTTTAAACTGCTGGAGCCGGGTCATTAAATTGGCTCTTAGTAAGATATACCTGGGTAAGATGAAGATGAACATTATGTGGGGCCATGGTGAATGTATGAGTTTCAAATACAGTTGAACCTCCATGTGCGACCACCTCTGGTAAGCAACCACCTCCCATAAATGACCGCCAATCCAAAACACCAAGACTTCCTGGTCAAAGCCTCTAGAAAATGACCATGACCACTCTTTGGGCCTGAAAGTTAAATGATTTTCTATTGTTTTTAACCTCTTGTAAGTGACCACTTGACGAATTCGAATAAGTAACACCCATAATCATAACACAAGATCCGTTTGCAATAACAATATTACAACACCAGCTTGTAAAAGGAACTCTGGCCTTCGAACGTTTCACTCAAGCACTTGCCGTTTGTGGAACGCTCTTGATCCCGAACCTAAGACACTCTCCCATACTAATTTTAAAAATTACTTATTTAAACTTAACCGTAGTTTGATTTCTTCTCTTGATCATAATTTTTAAGATTTGTAAAACCTTTTAGTTTCATTAGTAGTCAATTAATCAATATTGTATTAATAGTAGTTTATTATGTAATTTTAGTTGGTAGATTATATTGGTAGTTAATTAATTAATTGATACTTTTTATTACTTTATTGTAGGAGGGCCATTATGAAAACTACTGAGTGACCAGTAATCAATGTCTTTACCCTCGTTAAATAAAGTTATTACTTACTTACTTACTATTCTCTGATCTCTATGTTCACTGTGTGCCCTGTGCTACTTTGAATATATGAAGAACTTTAGTAACAACATGGAACTACACGTGGTGTAACTTAGAAATTGCCTGCAATAAATTATATTCCATAAAGTAGATGTGCCCGGACCTCTTCTCCGAAGAGGCGCCCTGTGGTTCAATTCTTGTATGCGAAACGACCACTCAGTCTTCGCATTTTGGGTGGTCACTTTGGGGATGGGGATGTTTGACTGTATTCCCCATTTCAACTGAATTAAGTTGACTTCATTATACTCTTAATAGCACTGTCTCTTATGAGCATCAATCTCAGTAAACACATCTGGTGTTATTCATTAAAATGATGTGAGTTAGTACCGCCCTCAAAAAGTGCCATGCCCCTTAGCAAGAGTAAAGTGTTATGAGTTAAATCATCTTAATAAAGTGTAGAATTACTCATTTACCATCCCCATTTGGTGGCAAAGTTTTAAAAGATTTTCTGTGGAAGTTTATCATTCATTTGACGAAATAAGAGGAATGTCAATTTGGCTTATCAGATACAGCACCTGTCTTTTTGTGTAAATGAGCAGTAACTCTACAAAATTAAACTAAAACTGCTTTCTTGTCCTCGAAGTCATGATCCTTCTGACCAGCACCGTGACAAAAAAAAGTGAGATAACTGATCCTTTCACCTTGAATTCGCCCGCGCTGATCCATGTTCCTTCTACCGTGTGTAACATAATCAGTTTTAATGGTCAAGGGCATTTTTTTCATCTTTCTTATACTGAATAATACAAAAGGAGAAAGCTCTATCAAAATAAGCCCGATTCAGTCAAGGAGGCCAGAGAAAAAGGCAGAAATTAATAAACCATTTTATTTTACTAACTTTGACCCAAAAATTTCCACCTATCTACCTTTCCCCTGGGTCTGGGGTGCCTCCCTTGCCCAGTGACCTCCTCTCTGTGGATTTTCGAGAGCTGCCGCTGATTCTCTCTAGTTATCAAGAAGGGAGCACAAGTGGTTTGTTGCTACTGAGGGTGTGGCACTTGAGGAGTCAAAACAACCCTTACTGCCAACTATTAACCACTTGAGTATAGTAAAAGAAACCTCTTCAGCACTTCCTTTTTATGATTTCCCTTGGATATTAGATTTAACATTCGTTTTGAATTTTGTAACCTTTAGGTGTGTGTCACTTAGACTGGGAGCAGTCTCTAATTTTCTTTTGAGTCACAGTAGCTCTAGAGCATGCATAAAGGGTAAGTGATGAAATTGCGAGGAAGGAGGGGGAAGGAGAGAAAGATGGTTACCTGCAGTCTAGGTGTTACTGGGGAACATAACCTACTTCTTCCATCTGGGGTGTTAAGGGCTCCTAGTTAGACCAACAAAACATTTCACCACTGAAATACATGATTTTGATTTTGATTTATGGCTTGCCTCACAGACAGCTTCAAAGGTAGTCAAGGCAAGGTGAAAAAAACAAACACACTTTGACCTTCTCAAAGCCTGTTTCCAGTTTCTGCTGGTTAGGTGGTCAGTTGAGAAACATCACTCGTCTTGCAAATTCATCGCTCGCTTGACGAGCATCCTTCACGCCTCCAGCGCTTATACAGTCTACTTGTAACAAACTTTAAACAAACTCTGAAAAATTACAGCAATTTAAAACATAATATAATTATCTAGTGAACACTTTGGGGCACAACCAGAGGGCCCAACTTGCACTGTTCAAGCCAGTACTTTCCGCCCTTTGATGTCGTTCCAATAATCTTTTCCACTCATGACATTCCACAACAATAAATGTGACACTTCATTTATATTTTGTTCAGATCAGTGTGAACAAGTTCCATAGTTAAAAGGAAACATTCAAGCCAAGTTTCATTTTCAAGCTATCACTTTCCAGTGGTAATTATTTTTTAAATCTCAAAGCAGTTAACTATTTCAGGGGAAGATCCTAAAAAAATTTTAAAATAATACAAAATTATACAGAAAAGGGGGGGAGGTCCCTTGGATTACTCTTGAATTCTTAGAGATAAGGAGGGCAAGATTCAGAGTACATCATTAATAGTTTCTGCATCATCTGCATTATCAAGAAACTACCTAATTTCTATTTTCAGCCCATTCATTCAGGCTTGGTAGTTCTAAAATAATGACTATTTCTCCCTGTGGAAAACAAAAATTATATGAGAAAGGGAAAGATGTGGTAATGTATGACAATGTCATTTTTTAATTTCACTGCCATTACTGGCTATAGGTCAAGTTGACCATTTTGAAAAAAAAAATGTAAATGGCAATAAAATATTATAAAGTTAGTAGACTTTTTAAATTTCTGTTATACATATTGTTTATTTTCTGTGGTATAGAAGACAGGGAAGCAGCGTTGATGATGATCATCAATTAAAAAACCCTTACTTTTTTGCCAATTGTAAATAATGTCAACATCATGCTTACCTTCATTTTAAGAAAAAAAGACAAAAGCATGACTATTCTGAAAATATCATATATTACTGTGAGAAATTTACATTGTACAGCAAAGTTGATAAGGTTTATTGCCAGTTCACAACTATTCTAAGGCTGTTTTGGTGTCAGTGCTGTATTCTGAGGTTTGATTCTGTGGCAGCAGACTGCAAGGAGTCACATAGTGGGGTATTATGCATACCACACGAGTGATACAACCAGTTGCAAAAGTACTTGAGACACTGTACCATATTTTGGATTAACTGTCTATGACCTTGTACTTGTGACCCCCTTGTCGAAGTAGCTAGCAATAAAAGACCACACTCAAAACTTGAGGAACAACTTTGAATGGACAAGAGGAGGGAGGCAAGTATTATATTGCACAGAAGTGTGACTAGCAGAGATTTGAAGCCAAACAAGGCAGTTTTTCGTTGAAGAGTCTCAACATTTTTGCAACTGGTTGTAGCAAACAGTGAAGCTGTAAGACTGAGAAACAAGGGGATCAACCTAATGAAACAAATTAAGAACCTGAGCAAATTTCAATAGAGTAGAGAAGTGATGTCAAAAAAATAAATAGATTTAAGAAAGAAATTATTAGATTGAGGGGGATAATTGGAAACTGAAAGAACAAGATGAAAATTTTCCATTCACAAAAACTCAGCTTGTTAGAGCAAATTTCCAGTGAGATATAAGCAATGTTATGCTTGAATGACTCCATGCAAATCCTTCTAAAATTGGCTTGAATGTACCTTTTACGACCCAGGTCAATTTTAGAGGGATATGTATGGAATCATCAGAGCATACCATTGCTTATATCTCACCAATAACTTGACCTAACAAGCTGAATTTTAACAAACAGACAGTTTTCATCTTGTTCTTTCAAAAATCCCATTTTTGTGATGTCACACTTCTCTACTCTAAACAAATTCTTCAGACCAACACAGTGGCCCTGGAGCATTCTCACTGGCCAGTTTCCAGAGTGTTGACAAATGTCATAAATATGATGGCAAAATATTATATTATAATCATCTTCAAAATCTGGAATGAGCAGGAAGCAGGGAAAATCTATGCTGCCTGTCATTTTCTTGTAACACAAAACCAGGGAGTTGAGAACAGAGGAGGCTATGAATATTAGTCTCTGTATATATTGACAATTTAATATTTCCCCCATATAAAGTTATAAAGAAAGCATTATACGACGTGTCTAGATACCCGGCAGCCGGGAACTGTTTTCAAAAAACTAGATACCCGGCAGTCAGAAATTTTGACCAATCTTCTCAAAATAGCTCGTTTAATTCCTCTAAGAACTTAAGATATTTGTTTAGAAATCACAAGCGATTATAAATACTGCCTTGGGTTAAAAGTAGAAGCGACTGTCGAGCCAGGCCATAGAGTGAAATCTCAATGTTTTCGACACTTAGAAAAATAATATTCAAGTTCTGACACACTAAGTCAACTCCCAATGAATATCCACAGAAATTTTCAACGAAACCTCAC